CCAGCAGGCTATCTAAGGCGCCACCCAGCCTGGCCAGCGAGCTGACCTTCAGCGGCACGGCGCAGCGAGGAGTGCCTGTGGTGTCTCTCAATGTGGCGATGGCGGCGCAGCCCGGCGGCGGCAAGGCAGCCGTGCGCTGCGGCTGCCGCGGCGCCTGCACCCGGAACTGCAGCTGCAAGAAGAATGGTGCGCGGTGTGGGCGGCACTGTGGCTGTATAACCGGTAAGGGTGGCAATTGCAAGAACCATTGAAAAAGTGTGCCTTGTACGCTTTGCCGTCTCCGCTGGAAGGTGCTGCCGCCTGTGGCGGCTTCATATTTCCTGTTCATTTCTGTTGTTCGGTCTCTCTGTTCGTGTTGGTTGGCTTGTAAGAGTTGTATTTCTGACGCTAGAGAGGTGAGATGACAGCGGGAGCGTTGAAGCGTGCATGCCATCACGTGTGCAAGCAGCCCCGCTCCGCCCCGCTCAACCCTCAAACAGGGCTATATGGGGTCAGTTCACGTATGGGAGGGGAGCGCCGCGCGGGCTGCCAGGAGGGAGCGGGGGCGGGGGTTGCCCAATCGGGAGGGTGCCACATCAGGGGGCAACACATGCCACAGAGACAACAGGTTTCCATTGCGTGCTCCTGCTCCCCAGGCCTACTGATTACAATGTCTGGCTGAAACCCAGTGCCGGACGCGGCGACATGGGTGCTCCCGACCATGGTGGGCGGGCAGCGGGAGCCCCCCAAGGTGCTCCCACAACATGGACAGGCGCCCACATGCTGCACAGCGTTCAATACGGGACGTTTTTGGGCAGGTTGTGTATCTTGTCGTACGACAGGTCCATCTTGCTGCGCAGCCGCTCCGCCTTGTGCTGCGCCTGCTTCTCCATCTTCTTCTGCACGAGCATCTCAGATGGCCCGTGCTCCTGCAGCCACGCCAACACAGCGGGAGCAGGCAGCCGCACAGGTGTTCAGCGTTGGTGCGGAGGAGGTGTGCGCACGCTTCGTAGATCCCCGGAACACAGCCGCAGCAGCAAGCAGGACGGAGCAACGACTGGCAGGTTTGGGGCGGGTGGCGTGATGCGCACAGCCCAAACAGCACAGCACAGTAACACTGGTTGCACCACACCCGCAAGTGGGTACCCACCAGTAGCGGTACTGCCAGGCGACGGTACTGCGCCTGCACCATGGCCGCCTGCACCGAGGCCCGCGAGTCGCCCAGCCGCGGCCGCTGGCGGTAGTAGCGCGCAAACTCCCGGCTGCCGATGATCTTGCCGCCGCCGGCGCCGCCGCCGCCGCTGGAGCCGTCGCCCGCAAGCACCAGCTCATAGGCGGCAGACGGGCCCGCCTCGGCGGCCGACACCACCAGCGCGCCCGCTGCAGCACGGCACGCGGTGGGAGCGGTGGCAGCGGGTGAGCACGAGCCAGCCAGCACCCACAGCTCAGCTGGAGGCTGCTGCCGCTGCTTGCACCACCGCCACTGGTCAAGCAGAGACCCATGCATATGGACGCGGCCTGCGCCTGCTCTCCAGGCTGCCTCACCCTGCGTCCCGTGTCCCGCTGGGCCCCTCCCTCCCCTGCTGCCCAATGCTCACCCTGGGCCATGTCTGCATCCTCCTCCCCATCCTCCCCATCTGCCCCGTAGTCGTAGTACTCCTCATACTCCTCCTCGTTGCCCTCCCACGCCATCTTGCACTGGTTGGTGTCCACCATGTGGCGCTGCAGGGAGGAAAGGACGGGGGGCAGGGCACATGTTCGGCGCTGCATGTGGGTGAACGCGGCCAGCAAGGCTGCATGCAGAAGGCGGGAGAGCCCCCTGCTGGCCTGCCACCCCAACTCCTGCCTGAGGCCACCTCAACTCCTGCCGGCACCACACGCCCCGCCCCCAGCCGCCCGCACCTGCACCGCGTGCAGCGACTGGAACTGCTTGGCGCTGGGGTTGTCGCCCGACTCGTACAGCGGTACGTGGCCGTACTGCAGCTTGGCCCCCTGCCGCACAGCGCCGGGACAGCACCACAACGCTCAACAGTGTGCGCCTCACGCAGAGCGAGTATGTGTGTGCAGCCAGTGGGCACGAAGGGCAGCGACGGCACGTGCAGCCTCCAGGCAAGGAGGCCCCGCAGCCGCCGACCTGCCCACGAGACGCATGCGCAAAGAGCACGCGTGCCGCCCGCCTACCCACCAGGTACTTGAGCAGCCCCTCCGGGTCGGTCAGGCGCTGCGAGTCTGGGAAGTAGAAGCCGAAGGACTTGAACATGTGCTCCAGATTGGCCTCCATGCTGGCGCTGAGGTGGCCGTCAAACAGGCTGCGCCGCACATCCCACTCCTCCCACTGCAGGGCGGGTGGTGGAGGAGGGAGCACAGGCGGGTTGTGCGTGCCAGCGGGCCTCTGGTGGTGGTGGTGGCTGGAGAGAATGGCGGCGAGCGCATTCGGGCGGCAGGCGCGGGGGTGGAGCGCCAGGACGGTTGCTGGGCGCGGAGCAAGGAGGTGCGAGCCTGCCCCGGTGGCCCTTCCTGCCGCCTGTCTGTGGCCCCTCTGTGCCCCCTCCACAGGGGACACAGGGCAGCATCTCAGCCCCTCCCCTGCCTTCCAGCTCTCACCTTCTGATCCGTCTCCATCTCCTCCTCGCTCGCCGTCTCCCAGTCTGACCCCTCATCAGCCTCCTCCTCCGCAGCCGCCTCGCCGCCGCCGCCCTCCGCCTGCGCCGCCGCCGCCGCCGCTGCTGCTGCCAGCGCCGGAGCAGCCGTCTTCACCGCTGGCTTGATCGTGAAGCCGGCGCCCTTCTGCTGCTGCTGCTGCTGCTGCGGGGCTGGCGCGCCGCCCGCTGCTGCCGCCGCGGCGCCGCCACCCTCAATCTTGCGCAGGGTCACAATGGGCGCCGGCGCCGCCTCGCCGCTCTTCTTCACCAGGTCTTGATATTTTTTGGAGCTGCAGGGCGCAGCACAGCACAGGACAGCGGCCAGGCACGTGAGTGGAGTTGAGGTGGCGTAATGCAGGCGGGGGTGGAGCGGGTGCCGGTGCGAAATGTGCACACAGGCGACGAGGGGACGTGGAAGCAGCCCTGCAAGCAGCCCTGCTGCACCCCCCGCCCCGCCCCACCCCACCCCGCCCTGCCCCGCCCCGCCCCGCCCCGCCCCGCCCTTCCCTCCCCTCACCGCGCAAAGGCCAGGTACGTGTTCTCGCTGTAGAACTTGCGCCTGGTCAGCGGGTCGAACCAGACGCGGTGCACGGGGCCGGGCGAGGAGGCCAGCAGCTGCGCCTTGCGCACCTCGTACCAGTCCCGCGTCACCGGCGGCAGCCCCGCAATCTTGCGCTTCAGGTTGTACCTGCAGAGCAGGCGGGCGTATTGGCGGATCAGGCGGGGGGAAGGGAGGTGAGGCAGCAGGCAGGGCCGGGGGATGGCAGCAGCAGGGCCCTACACAGCGACGCACACACCAAGAGCGCCCAGCCAATCTTCTTCCTGCCTGCCTGCCTGTTCCTGGCTCCCACCCGCCATACCCTGACCCACATGGCAGCGCGACCCTCCTTTCCACCCAGCCCCTGGCTACCCTCACCTGTGGAAGTCGGAGCGGTAGTGATCCTCCAGGTCCTGCTTGCTCTGGAAGTACGTTCCGGCGGTGCTGCAGTACAGCCCCTCCTGCTGCTCCTCCAGCTGCTGTGCCGCCATCCTGGCGCCCAGGTACACGTCGGCTGTGCAGGCAGTTGGTAACGATGATGATGCAGGTGGGCTGCACAGGGGGGGGCAGGCTGCCGTAAGACGAGGGAGCAAGCTGGCGGTGGCGGTGGCGGCGGAAGGCGGTGGAACTCGGTGGTGGCAGCGGCGCACGGCGGCGCCCTGCATGCATGATCCCGATCCGCTGCCTGACTGCAAGGGGCGGCTTTGAGCCCAGGTGACCACGCCTGCCGGGACTCACATGCCGTGGGTTGGGCTGTGCACGCTGGGGGGTGCCGGTATGGCCCTCCTGGTGTCCAAGTGATCTGTGGAACGGCGGGCAGGCGCAATAGAGCCCTCAGGAGTCCCTGGCGGCCAGCTGGAAAGAGGAAGAAAATGAAAACTTGATGGTGGAGCGCCTCGCAGCTCGCTCCAGTGCATCCTCTAGCCTCACGCGCATGTTGTCAACTTGCAGAGCGGCGCCCGCCCTGCGCAGCACACTCCTGCGCAGCAGCGGTGCCCAAGCCAGGCGGACCCCTTGCAGAACCCGCCGGGCGACGACCATGACGATAGGGCAGCTGCATCCTTGCATTGGGGAGGTGCTCCTTACCCGAGAAGTATTGCAGGAGCGGGTCTCAGAGGTTGGCAGGTGAGCAAGCATGACATCGAAGCACCGCCTTGGCCTGCCTTGATGCCCCCTCCTGGCCGACCTGCAGCACAGCCAGCGTGTGTGTGGCGCATCGGTACCGCGTGGTCAGAGTGCATGCTGTATGCATGCTCCGCCGCCGCATGCTCCCCGCCGCCGCACTCTGCGACTGCTGCGCCCCTCAACCGCCGTCATCCTCCTTTGTCCCCGCCGCGCAGGGAGATTGCAGCCGACTACGCCGACAAGCAGCCGCTGGTGATTGGCACGCTGAAGGGCGCGGTGGTGTTCATGTCGGACCTCGTCCGCGCCATGGAGCCCACGCCGGCGGGGCTGGAGCTCGACTTTGTGCGAGCCTCCTCCTACGGTGCCGGCACCGTCAGCAGCGGCAAGGTGGCGCTGACCATGGTGGGAGGCACCGACGTCAAGGGGCGGCACGTGCTGCTGGTGAGGTGGGGCTGGGGAGCCGCGGCGGGCAGCCGGCGGGGCTGGGGCGCCTCCCGACCCGTAGCTTCTGCTGTCTCTGCCGCCGTGCCATGCTCCCATCCACCCATGCATCCATGCATGGCGCCCTTCCGACGCCTGCCTCCTGCACACCACATGGGCAGCAAATGCCTGTGACCCTGCCCCCCGCGCCACGCCTGCCGCCGCCCGCCGCCTCTCCCTGCTCTTTGCGGACTGGGAGCTGGCGGCGGCGGCGGCCGGCGGCGGGGACCCCCCATGGCGGGTGTCCTACTGCTTCCGTTGCCCACAGCGAGCGGGGCCGGGCTTGACACCCCGGCTACCCAAACCGCGGCCTGTACCCACGGACGCGTGCGGCCCTCCCCCGCGCGTGTTCACTAAACCAAAGGGTCACAGCTCCTCCACCCGCTTCTCCCCATGCACACCCACCGCCCAGCCTGCACCCCCTCCCTGCCGCCATGGCTACGCGCCAGCGAATCGGCGCCCTTTCTTTTCTGCGCTTTCTTCCACCCCTCCACCAGCGCCTTGTCCCTCCCTGGGTCCACCCCCGCTCCCCACCGCCACCCCACCCCGCCCCTGAAGGTCGAAGATATTGTGGACTCTGGGCGTACCGCCGCCGCGCTGCTGGAGCACTTCTCTGCCGAGGGCGCCGCCTCGGTCAAGCTGGTGTCGCTGCTCAGCAAGCCCTCGCGGCGGGCGGTGCAGTGCGAGCCAGACTACCAGGTGGGTGGCGGTGGTGGTGGTGGTGGTGGTGGTGGTGGTGGGACGAGGGCAGGGCAGGGCACGTGAGGCGAGGCCAGGGCAGGGCAGGGCACGCAAGGCCAGGGCAGGGCAGGGCAGCGGCATGGGGCCTCAGTGTGCTGACCGGTGGCCACCTGCGAATCCTGCATTGCTGCAGTGCTTCGAGATTGAGGACAAGTTTGTCGTAGGTGGGTTGGCCGCAGGCCTTCTTGCCGGCAGGGTTTGCTTGTGCCTGGCAGCGCGCGCCGTTGCTGTGCCGTTGCCCAGCAGCGGCCCGGCTGACCGCCGCTTCGCACATGGCTGTGCAGGAGTGGGACTAGACTACCGGGAAGAGTACCGCTCGCTGCCGTACATTGGCGTGCTCAAGCCCGAGTGCTACGAAAGCTGATGCCAGTCAGGGCCCGCCGCTTTTTTGCACCCCTCTGAACTTGCTGACTCCTCAGAACTGCCGCGCCCCACTGTACCAGTCACACTTGACCCGCCCGCACTGTTTGCTATCTTGTCGGTCCTCCATTGTACCCTGCCTAAGCTTTGCGTGGCATCATTCTGTACTTTTATGCTGCTGTTGAACCTGCATCCATGCCTCCGCCCGCGACGCCCTGCCAAACCCGCCGCCAGGCCCACTCTGCCGGGAGCAGTTCTCTTGCTTTGCACCCCTGTAACATGCCCAGGTGCAGAGGCAGGTTGCGGGGTGGTTGGGGCACTGTGACAGGGGCCCGACCACAGCATGGTGCTGGCCTCTCTCAGCATGCATGCCGGGTGCCCCAGGGCCGTGCGCCCCATCCTGCCGCCGGCGTGTCTTTGATATGATTACATGGCATTTCAATACATTAGAAGGAGAGGGTGGCGCTATGTGCAAGCGGGGGGAGTGCTTGTGAAAGTGGGGTGCTCGCGAGGGCCCAAGCAGCACAGCGCTGCTGGCACAGCGCTGCTGGCAACATGCCTAGGCCGAGTATGCGGCGGCGTCTGCCCCGGCAGCGGCGCCGCCGCCCCCGCCGCACAGCGGGCTGCGCAGCACGGCGCTCGCCTCGGCGGTGGCCTGGGCGGTGGCGGTGACGCGGATAGGCACCGAGTTGCCGCTTGCGCTGGCGCCTATGTCCATGCTTGATTCAGCCGTGGCGAGGCTCTGCACCAGGGAGCAGCCAAAGGCGCCCGCGCCAGCCAGGCAGCCGGGGCTGGCCGCCAGGGCCTGAGCCTGCGCCACTGCGGTGGCGCTGAGCTGGAGGGTGCTGTGGCGGTGGCCCCACGGGTCGGCTGGCAGCACCCCGCTGGCAGAGGCGGAGGCAGAGGCGACGGCCTGGGCCAGGCCGCACACGGAGGCGGCTTCGGCAGAGGCGAAGGCGGAGGCGGAGGCGACGCCGCCGGTGGCTGCAGCGTTGGCATTGGCGGCGGCATCAGCCGAGCTGCCAGAGCCGCCCCAAGGCCAATGACTGCCGGTGGCCTCGGCTGAGGCTTGGGCGCCAGCAGATACGCTGCCGCCAGCGGCGATGGCGTTGGCGTTGGCGCCGGCATTGGCAGAGCTGCTGCCATGCCATGGCCAGGTGCTGCCGGTGGTCTCAGCTGAGGCGTGGGCGCCAGCAGCTGCATTGCCGCCGTTGGCGATGGCGTTGGCGGCGGCGGCGGCATCGGCAGAGCTGCCAGAGCCGCCCCAGGGCCAATGACTGCCGGTGGTCTCAGTCTCAGCTGAGGCTTGGGCGCCCGCAACTGCGTTGCCGCCGTCAGCGATGGCAGCAGCATTGGCGGCGGCGTTGGAGGAGCCGCCTGCGCCATGCTTGCCGCCCATCTTCCGGCCCTGCTTCACGGCTGCCTGGGCGCCGGCGCCGGCGCTGGCGCCCGGCTGGCAGTCGATCCAGGCCGCGCCAGGGAAGGTGGAAGAAAGCGTGGCGCTGGGGCAGAGGGCTGGATTTAACACCTGCAGCAGGGCGGCGTGTGCAGGAGGGCAATGCCCAGGTGGGGCGCCGTGCTGGTCAGGGAAGCCGCGGCAGCCAGCGGCAGCCGGCGAGCACACTGACGGCCCAAAGGCAGGCAGCGAGCGCATTCACCATACAAAAGAAACCAGCATCGCCAGAGGACATTAGGTGCTGGGCGCAGCCGGCCCGCCCGGTTGGCACGCCGCCGCTTGTGCCTTCAGGGCTGCACGCGCAGTCGGCGCGGGCGCCGCCCGCCAGCAGCAGCAGGCATCCTGCCGCAGGAGGCAGAGAGTGTGAGGTGAGAGCAGCAGGGGGGCGCAGCCTGACCGGGTGCGGCGCCGGCGCCAGGCGCTCTAATCACCTGCCGTCACCAGGACCGTGGTTCCCATGGTGCGCCCCATTGTGAACGAGCACGCGAAAAACAACAATGCTCCCTGGAATGAGCTCGCTCGAGTCCTCGGGCTTCAGCCCAACAGCGGAGCACGCTCCGCACGCGGCTTGGAAGCCGCCCCTGTGGTTTCTTGGACCGTCTGCTCGCCCACGCTGCTGCGAAGCTGCACATGCGGGGGCAGGCCTGCGCTATATCACCCCCCCAGGGAGCCACAGCAGCAAACTCCCTCAACGCAGAGCAAACCCCAAGCAACAACCAGAGAGCCATCAACCCATCCAGGTGCGAGTGCGAGCAGCGCCGTCAAGGCCGCTGCCTGGGACAGCCAGGGCTCGGCTGTGCTGCCGACCGCCACCCATGCTAGCGGCGTGCCTCTGCCTCCCTGCCTCCCTGCCTCTGCAGCACGCAAACGAGCATCCCTTGCCGGCACAGGTTCAGGCTGCCTCCCATCTGCTCCGCTGCCCGCGGGTCTATCCCCCGGGTGCCCCCCACCCGTGCAGCGCCCGCCATGGCTGTCCAGCGCGTCGCCGCAGCACTGCTGCTCCTCCTGCTCGCCGCCTCGGCGGCCTACGGGCAGGAGGTTCGCCTCGTGGCGGGGCCTGGCTGCCTCGCTGATCAAGTCCCGTCACCGCCTGTCGGCCTCAAGGCCCAGCCTCTGGATGGCGGCGTGCGGCTCTCCTGGGACCGTCCCGCTAACGGAGCATGTGTGTCCGAGTACCAAATCACTGTGGTTCGTCTGAACACCACCCAGCGTGCCGCCCCGCTGACCCAGAAAACGCCCGATTTTCAGGTCACCATCACCGGCCTGGTCAATGGTCAAAGTTATCGCCTATTTATTAAAGTGAGCATGCCTTGCTGCTTGGCATCCTGGCTGGGTGCTCGCGGCGCCCTGGCAGGCGCCTGCTGTTTCCCGCATGCTCCCAGCTGCAGGCCCCTGCCGCCACACACCCAACCTCCCGCTGGCCCCTGCCCCGTGCCCCTCCACCTCCCTTCTTGCCCCAGGCCTACTCTTCTCGGTTCAACGCCGGTGGCGAGGCTCAGGTGGTGGCCACACCAGCCGCCGCCTGCAACCCCGCCCTGCTGCCCTCCGCTCCAACCAACCTGACGGCCACCCCGGGCAACGGGCAGCTCAAGCTGTGCTGGGGCCCTCCCACAGTGAACGGCTGTGTCGACGAGTACCGGCTGGCTATTCGCGCAGTGCAGCAGGTGGGTGGAGGGGCCGGTTGGTTGGGAGCAGCCTGGGTGGCGGCAGGCTGCCAGAGGTGCCCAGCACGACAGCTTGGCGCCAGCTCAGCGGCGACCGAAACCTGCGCCCCCTCGCCTGCCGCCTGCCCCTGCCTGCAGGACCCCCAGCGCTCCTTCAGCCCCATCTACAGGCGCATCAACACGGGGGCCTGCGCAACCATCGACCGGCTGGTGAACGGCGTGGCATACGAGGCGTCGGTCCAAGGTAAACCTGGGGATGACACATACAGTGTGTATGCAGTGTGGAGGCCCTCCCTCACCTGCCCTGCATCCGGAGCCCCTGCCCTGCCTTCTCATCTCCTCCAACCCACCCCGCCTGCCCTGGTCCTGCCCCTGCCCCTGCCCCCTGCCCCTGCCCCCACAGCCTGGAGCGCCACGATGCGTGGCGGCGGCTACGCCAGCGTACGCGCCACCCCCATCGCCCCGCCCAAGCCTTGGACCTGCCTGCCCGCCCCCGGCAGCTACCCTCTGTGCTCCACCGCCGCCGCGGGCCGCTGCACACCGCTCACCTGCCGCCAGCAGGTGGCTGCGGGCCAGTGCTTCGCCCCCTTCATGCGCGTCGTCGACCCAGCCAGCAGAGTGGTAGTGCAGGTGCGGGCTTTGCTGCCGGAGCGGCGGCCGCCTGTGCGGAGCCTGCTGTGCCCGCGTTCACGCCACGGCGCCACAAGCGGCAGCCTCCACCCTGCCTGACTCTGCACCCTGCCTGCCTGTTCCTCCCTGCCTGCCTGCAGTATTGTTCCGACGTGTGCGGCTGCTCCGCAGACCCCGCCGCCAAGGAGCCCGCCGTGCGCGCCTTTGACAACGGCGTCACCGCAGACACCGCCGCGCTGGCCGGCCAGGCCGACGCCGCCACGCGCGCGGTGGCCGCCTCTGCCTCCTCGGCCGCCAGGGCCGCCGCCACCTACCAGACCGACTCTGCCTGCTGCGCCTCGCCGCCACGCCCCGCCCGCCGCGACTTTGGCTTCGGACTGCCCGCCGACGTCGCCCTGGGCGCCCCCCAGGGCCAGCCTGAGGCAGAAGAGTACAGCCCATAGGAGCCAGCCGCTGCAGCGCTGCTCAAGCGCACGAGCTGTGCCCTCTTGGCGTCCGACCCCGGCGCCGCCGCGGTACCGCCCCGCGACCCTCCTTTCACCTGCCCTGCCCTGCATTTTCCTGATTATTGATTGATGGCTTGTTACCCATGTAAGCACTAAGAGCTCTGCATGATAAGAGAGCAGAGGCCTTCTTAAGTGTTTCAGCAGCACCGGCGCTTCTTTCCACTGCCGCTGCGGGTCTTTCCTCCAGCAGCGAGAACGTGTCCAGCCTGCATGCCCTCTTCTCCCGACGGGGGCCTGCCTGTGTCCACATATCTAGGTAATCAGCATGGTGAGCGTGGAGCAGGTGCGTGTGTGACCACTGTCTCGGCCAGCAGCAGCCCAAGCCGCACCAGCCTCTTGCAGCCAGCCCATGCCCACCAGCGCTGCGCTTGAGCCTGAGGCTGGGAGGGCCGGCCCGAGGGTGTGCGAGCCTCGCTAGAGTGCACCCTAGCCCTCACTTGCTTCCCTCAACGCTGCAGGCAGCGCTGTGGCACCATGCCGGTGCACAGGGCGCGGGCATCTCCAGAGCGGGCACCGCGGCCGCAAGCCGGGCAGCCGCCGCAGCCGCGGCCGCCGCCGCCAGGCAGCGGCAGGAGGCCGACACCTCGGAAGGCTCGGAGTCTGAGGAGGAGGCCTCCTCAGCGTCCGAGGAAGCCGAATCTTCTGACGGCGAGCAGAGGCGGCAGCCTGCGACCCAGCAGCAGCAGCCTGAGGTGGTGGTGATCTCCTCCTCCTCCTCCTCCTCCTCCGAGTCATCTGAGGAGGAAGAGTCTGAGGAGGAGTCTGAGGAGGAGTCAGAGGAGGCTTCCGAAACAGAGCAGGAGGAGGAGGAGGAGCTCCCGCTGAAGCACAAGCGCCCGGTGAAGCGGCGGCAGCAGGTGCGGGATGCCATGCCATCGACTCATTGCCTCCCTCCAGCAGCTTTCAGCCAAGCATTACTTTCAGCCATGCATTACCCTGTCTTGCTCTTGCTGCTGCAGGCCCGCAAGGCCGCCGCCGCAGCTGGCCGCGCCTCTGCCCCGAGCAGAGCGGGTGCCAAGCGCCCACAGCAGCAGGCGGCGCCGAGCGGCAGGGCCAAGAAGCAAAAGGTGGGGGGTTTGAGAGGGTGGCTGCCAGGCAGCGGCATTGGGTCTGGTATGCACCACTTCTGGTCTGCCCGGGAGCCAGGGGCTGCATTGGCACAAGGCTGTCACAGGCGGTACGGTACCGCCACTTTGGGCTGCGCGCTGGCGCAAGGTTCCCTCGCTGCCGGTTGTCCTGCAGGTTGCACACGACTCCAAGCGCCGCTCCGACCAGCACTTCAGCACACCAGCGCGAGCCCCCGCCCCGCCAGCCTCCCGGCAGCAGCTGCAGCAGTCGGCGGAGCAGCTTCGCCGGCGGGCCGAGGCCACGGTGCGGCGCGCGCAGGAGCAGGCGGCGGCCCTGCTGCGGCAAGCGGAGGAGAATGAGGTTGATGCGGAGGCCAATGAGCAGCCGGGGTGCTGGCTGTTCCAGCTGCCCTCCTCCCTGCGCTGGCTGGTGGTGGAGAAGGTGGTTGATGTGCTGGCGGACGCCAAGGACAAGTGAGCGGGGGACGAGGCAGGATGGGGAGGGAGCAGGGAAGGCAGGCATGTGCGGGCCACAGATCAGACACGCCTGAATGCCTGCTGGGCTGCACCCCCAGTGTGTGTGGGGGGACCTTGAGAACAGCCACATGCCAGCCCACATTATCATGACAGCCCACAGACCGCAGACCCGCCAGCTCTGAGGGTCTTAAGGGTCTGGCTGGGCTGGCTGCCGCTGCTGCCTCTGCAGGGTGCACCTGGCGCTGGCGTGCAAGGCGCTGGCCCTCCACTACAAGCAGCACAAGCCGGCCTGGCTGCGCCGCCTGCGCCTGGTGCGCGCGCCGGGGGCGGCCGCGGAGGAGGGGCCTCACTATTACGACGAGGAGGGGGTGGGCGTGGGGCTGGGCCTCACCGCGTGCCGGCAGCTGACGCAGTGGGCGCAGCAGCAGCAGGGCGGGGCGGGCGTGGAGAGCCTGGCGCTGCGCATCCGCCCCGGCGTGTACGAGTTCCGGCTCAGCCACCTGTTCAAGGCGCTGTGTGGGCAGCTGGTGGAGCTGGAGCTAGACCTGGAGGAGGGAATCCCAGCGGGCGTGATGGGCATGCCGGTGCTGCACGACTGCCACTACCCGGCCCTGCTGCACGCCCGCCTGCGCGGCAGCCGCCGCTTCAGAACCGACCACCTCTCGCACCGCGGCTACGGCTTCGGGCTGAGCGCCCCCAGCCTGCTGTCCCTGGTGCTCAGCAGCAGCATGCTGTGGCAGCTGCCGCCCAGCCTCACCTCCCTCCACCTCACAGACGTGTGCGCCTCCCACCAGGCTGCCACCGCCATCTTTGGAGGTGCGGCCTGGCCTGGCATGCGTGCCGTGGTGGGCACGGCTCGCCTGCCCCAGCTGCCGCCTGCTGCCCACGACTGTTCCCCAGCCAGTTCTTTGCCTCTGGTCAACAGCGCTCGACTGCCACCCCTGTCCAATGCTCATCCCATGCTGTGCGCCACGCCTTCAGCCACGGCGCTGGAGAGCCTGGGCCTGCGCCGCGTGAGGTTCCTGCCCAGCACCGGCGGCGACGGCGGCGGCGGCGGCGGCGAGGACGACGGCGAGGATGCCCCCGCTCCTGCCGCCCCCCAGGCCCCCCCCACGCTGTCTGCCGCCTCGGCCCTCACCAGGCTCACCTCGCTGACCGCCTGCTACGTCTACGACGGCAGCAAGCCGTATGGCAGCCTGGCGCCGGACTGCCTGGCGGTGCTGCCTCGCCTGCGCCAGCTGGACCTCGCCCCCGCCCGCCCCGACGTGCTGTCGCTGTTTGGCGGGCAGCTGAGCGCGCTGAGCCTGCGCGTGGGCGCCGCCGCCCCGCCGCTGGCAGACCTGACTCGCCTCACCAGTCTGCACAGCCTGGCCGTTGCCGGCACCTCCCACCGAGCCACAGAGGAGCTGGAGAGCCTGCGCTGGGCCGGCATCCCGCGCCTCCTGCTGATGTAGACCAGCCTCAATGGATCCCGCACAGCACCTTGGCTCCTGTTGCTCCTGCGCCGCTCCAAGTTCTGAACATTCCTCAGCCGCTTTCCCTTCTGCGCCTTGAACCCAGTTTCCAAGCCATGCTTGCATTGTTGTGAAGCCAGGTGTTCAAAAAGCATCCCCCACTAGCCCTTCAGGGAGGGCCCTGCACAACCTTTGCGTCGCCCAAAGTACCGCTGCCGCCAGGCGGGACACCGCCCCCCTGGCACCTCCAAACTCTCGCGCCTGTTCAAGTTCCTGGGCATGCCGTTGACCTCCTGTCGACTTGCTTTGCTTGCCGAGCCGCATCAGCGCCGCGATTGCGAGGTGACCTCTTGCACCAGGCCATCGACCTCTGGTTCGCGCCTCAGCACTCGGCGGGCGCTTCAATCGGATTGACAGGAGACCGACAAGCGCCCCAGGAGGCAAGTCCGCCACACCACCGCCCTGCGGCTGCCATCAGGGCTGTCCGTGCCCTCCCTGCGCCGCTTTGCCCTGTGGTCAGCCACCCGAACAGCTGTGCCCACGTCCAATGACGCGAAACCGCGAGCAGGGCCCCTCCCGCCCCCTGCTGCCGCTTCCGCCCGCCCCCCGGCCCGCATCACCTGCCGACCCGCTCCCCCTCGCAGCATGGTGCGCTTCCACTGGCCCGTGGAGGGCGGCCACTCGGCCTGGGTGCCCTCGGGCGGCATGAAGGTGGATGAGGCGGCGGGGGTGCGCCACATCACTCTGGACATGGAGGTGCGGCAGGGAGCAGAGTGGCGCCTGTTTAGCCTCCTTGCTGGCTGTTTAGCCCCCCTCTTGGGCAGCTCACGGAGTCCCCCCCTGCCGCGTCCGCTGTCCCTCCTCTCGGCACTGCTGTCACAGGGTCCGTCCAACCCACCCCAATCCCGCCCTGGCCCCCTGACCTGCCCTCAACCCTGCTGCTGCTGCTCCTGCCGCGCCTTCCGCCCCCCGGAGTGCAGCTGGCGGGCCAGAACGAGACGGTGATGAGCCTGCTGACGGTGCCCGGGGACTACCTGGATGCGACCAAGGTCAGCCCGCTGGGCATCGTGCTGGGCCACGGTTCGGACGCCGAGGGCAGCTGGCGGGGGCCGCTGCTGGAGCGGCTGGCCGGCGCGCTGGCGGCGCAGGGCCACGTCGTCATGCGCTACTACTGCCCGCTCAAGGAGCAGCGGCGGCACCGCATCTTCGAGAAGGCCTTTGACGTGGCCGCCACCTCGCCCTACGCCCGCCCCGTCGCCAAGTGGGCGTTTGTGGGGTTCGACAATGGGGCCCGCATCGCGGCGGGAGGTGGGTCGGAGGGAAGCCAACAAGAGCACACCCTGTGTGTCTGTGCGCGCTGTGTGTGTGCTCGAGTGTGTGTCTGTGTGTGACAACAAGCGCCAGCGGCATTGCTGCTGCGCATGCTGCCCCCCACGCCCGCCCTGCTGCCGCTGTCGCTGCCGCTGCCGCTGCGCCTGGCTGGCCGCAGCGCGGGCCCGAGCTTGCTCCGTGCGCTGCCGCCGTGTGAGCCGCTCTTACCATCTGGCCCTGCTTCTGCGCCGACCGTCTTGCCCTGCCTCTGCTGCCTTCCGGGTGCAGTGGGCAGCAAGGTGGGGGCGCGCGGCACGGGGCTGCTGGCCGGCTTTGCCCTGCTGTCCTACCCGCTGCTCGACCCGGCCCCGCCGCCGCCCAAGCAGAAGCTGGGGGCCGTCCCGCCGGCAGATTCGGGTGAGGCGGCTGGGGGCTGCGCGGTGCATGGTTGTGGGAGCTGAGGCTGGGGGCTGGGGACTGGGGCTGGGGCTGGGGCTGGGGCTGGGGCGCACCTGGCTCTAGCGGCTGCTTTCGCGCGCGCCTCCCTGCTGTCGCGGCTGGCAGCCTGCTGACCTCCCCGGGCGTGCCCCGGGCCGCCGCTCCCCCGCCTCCCTTGCCCGCAGTGGGCCCGCTGACCAAGCTCAACGAGCTGCGCCTGCCCGCGCTGTTTGTGTGCGGCGAGTTTGACCGGCTGTGCCCCGGGGCGCGCCTCAAGGAGACGCTGGCAGAGGTGCTTCCAGACGTGGATGTGCGGGTGGTGGTGCTGGAGGTGAGATGAGGCTGGGGCAGGCAAGGAGAGGGCGGGGTGGATGGAAGATGAGGAGAAGGGAGGGGCCGACGGCCGCGGCTGCTGCCGCCAGCCTACGGCATGCGGCGCATGCAGGCAGAGCATGCCAAGTTCTGCACAGCTGTGGGCGCGTGCCCCGCGGGCGCCCCACCTGACATTCCATCCCCGCCGCCTGCCTGCCTGCTGCCGCGCGTGCAGGGCCTGAGCGGCCGCTTCTGCGTGCCCGGCACCAAGGATCTCGCGGAGGAGGTGGCCCAGCAGGTGGTGGGCCATGTGCGGACCTTTGTGGCGGCGCTCAGCCAGGCAGGCGGCATGGCGGCCTGCCCGCTGCCCAAGGCCGCCGAGCTGGAGCCATCTGTGCGGCCGCTGCCGGATGTGCCAGAGTCGCCCAAGCGGGAGGCCTCCCCCGAGGTGGAGGAGGAGCCCGAGCCGCCGCCGCCGGCCAGGAGGGCTTCTGCGGCGGCGGGGCACGGCGGGCGCGCCGCGGCCGCGCGCGGGCCCGCGGCCGCGCCGCCGCACCCGGGCATGCGGCAGCAGATACCACCGGGCATGGTGGCGGTGGTGGGGCCGCACGGGCAGCCCATGCTGGTGCCGGCGGCCATGGCTGGCAACCCCGCCGCGCAGCAGCAGCTGCTCTTCCTGCAGCAGCAGATGATGGCTGCGCACATGCAGCAGCAGCAGCAGAAGCAGCAGCAGCAGCAGCAGCACGCGAGCGGCATGCCCACGCCGCAGCAGCAGATGCAGATGCAGATGGCGATCCTGCAGGCGCAGATGGCGGCGGCCGCCGCGCGGCCGGCGGCGGCGGCGGCCCAGCAGCCGCAGCAGGCGGCGCCTGTGCAGCAGCAGCAGCAGCAGCAGGCGGCCCCTATGGCAGTGGACCCTCAGTGAGAGGCTGCCGTGAGGGAGCAGAGTTGATCCGCGGTCGAGGGCCAACCATCAGGCCCTGGTGCCCACACAGTGTGCATGCCGCCGTCCTATACCCCCCTCGTTATCTCTCTCCCTTATACAGATACACCTGTAACACGCAGCCTCCGACCCTCCAGGCTTCCCTCTCTTGACAGCTGGCCTGGGAGAGCGGTGGGCAGGCGACTGTGTGGTTACATTGCTTGTTCCCTGGCAGCGTGCTGCCTGCACGGGACTCCGAAGCACAGTATGCTTCTTTCCAATGGCGGCAGGCGCAGCCGCGCGGCTGCCGGCCGGGCGCGACACACAGCCCGCGCCGGCGCCGCCTGCGGCCGCACGCTGCCGCCGACGCCCGCGCCGCGGCCGGCACGCCAGCCACCGCCGTGGCTGGCGCGCCGCGTCGGGCGCCGAGGCACTCCTCCTGAGCCGACGCTGCTGCTGCCGCCTACTCCTTGTCCGGCTTGACCATGGAGGTACCGCGGATGCGACCTGCGGTACAGGGCGGTACACATCGCCGCCAGCACGTTGGCGGAAGGGCCGCGGCGCTGCCACGCCAGGCAGCCGCCAGCCGGCCGCTGCGAGAGGCGCCGGCAGCCAGCAGGAGCCTTCAGCGGCTGCCTCCACACCACACACGCACGCGGCAGCCATGCCCCGCTCTCTGCCAACACACGCACCAGCACACGCCAGCCCACTGCACGCCCCTCACCTGTCCTGCGGGCGGCGATGAGGCCGACCTTCTGGCCGGGCGGCGCGTCGCGGCGCACCGTGGAGGCGTGACCGATGTGCTGGTGGTTACCGCCGCCGTGGGGATGCTCCACAGGGTTCATGGCCACACCACGCACCTGCAGGAGGGGGGTGCAGGCAGGCAGGGAGGGGCGGAGGCGCCGCACGTGGGTGGAGGGGACAGGCAGCGGAGTGGCAGGCAGGGAGGCGGCGCGCGGCGCGGCGCGGCCGCGCGGAGCTCCGCCGGCCGGGCAGGCGAAGGCGAGGGCCCCAGCCAGCCTCCAGCCGCAAATCCCCAGCCGCCTGCAAGACGTCGGCCGTCCCGAGCCTCCAGCCGGCCCCCATGCCGCCAGCCACGCCACGCCACGCCGTGGCCAGCCCCGGCCCCAGCACAGGCCCCAGCGCCAGCCCCAGCTCCCAGCTCCCAGCACAATGCCCAGGGCCGCACCTTGGGCCAGCTGTTGCGCTTCACGCGGAACTTGTGGTAGCTGCGCCCCGCCTTCAGCATCGGCTTCTCCGTGCGCCCGCCGCCAGACACCTGGCCCACCGTCGCGCGGCACTCGCTGCTCACCACCTGCAGGGGGCAGGGCGGGGCAGGGGGCAGGGCAGGGCAAGGGGTCAGGGGCGGCTCTACGGTTTGGTGGGGAGGCAGCGGGGGCAGCGGGGTGGTAGCAGGGGCAGCGCGGCGCTGGTGCGGGGTTCGACAGGCGGCCGGGCCGGGCCTGGCGCGAGCTGCAGGCCGGCGCTGGCATCAGGCGGCGGCTGCCGTGCCGTGCCAGGCTGCTCTCATCCCAACCAGCTCCCGTGTGGAGGGCTGGCCCCATGTGCTGCCGGCACCGCTGTAGCCAGGCTCTGCCACGCCTGCCCCAAGCCGCCTGCCACGCTGCTCCTGCCGCGTCCCGCCTCCGGGCTGCCTGGTCGTCGCCGCCCCAGCTCCACTCCCGGCGCCGCACTCCCCAGCCCCCAGCAGGCCAGCAGCCACGGCTGCGGCGCCAAACATGCGCAGCAGCCAAACAGCAGCACCGCGCCAGTGGCAGCAGCGCACCCCCGCCCCTCTCCCTCTCCCAACCATGCCAGCCACCGCTGCCGCCAACGCTACCGCCGCCGCCGCCGCCGCGCCAGCCACCCAATCAGCCATGCCCTTCGCCCCACCCCTTGACCCCACACACCACCCACCTTCTTGGAGCCCGAGGGCAGCTTGATGCGGGTGATGCCAGCGTCGGGGTTGTGCGCCACCACGATGGCATAGTCGCCGGAGCAGCGCGCAAGGCTGCCGCGGTCGCCCGCCTTCTCCTCCACGTTGCAGATGATGGTACCCTCGGGCATGTCGCCCACCTGGACGGATGCGCAGGCAGACGGCAGGGGCGTCGGGCAGGCAAGAGGCGCGGCTGCGACGCAGGGGCCGGCCCCGCAGGCACGCGCGTCCTCCCCGCCTCCCGCAGCTCTGTGCCCGCCTGCCCCGGCGCAGCCCCGGCGCACACAGCAGCAGGAGGCTCACCGGCTTGACGTTGCCGATGTTGAGGGTGGCCTTCTTGCCGCAGTAGATGTACTGCCCGCTGTACACGCCCTCCGCCGCGATGAACAGCTGCTTGTCGGTGGCGTACCGCACGGTGTGGCGGAAGTGTACCTGCGCGGCGCGGAGGCAGGGGGCGGGGCAGGCAGGCGGGCTCAGCAAACAAGGCGCCAGGCGCTGCACGACGCAGCCGACAGGTGGCTGGCCGGTGTGGGGCCTGGCTGGCAGGGTGGGCTGCGCGGCTGCGGCCGCAGTGGGTCGAGCCCTCGGCTGGACGCGACGCGGCCCGCCACCCGCTGCTGCCAGCGCCGTGCTGCCGTTCAGGGCAGCGCCCCGCTGCACTGCCGGCTGGGCCTGCCCGCCGCTGGCTCTCGCGCCCCGCAGCATCCGCTCCATACTATGTGCACCACGCCGCCCTGCCTCGTCGCTCCATCAATGTGCACCCCTCTGCCGCCGCACCACCTCCCCTGGCGGCACCGGCACCCTCAGGCGGCTGCATGGCTGGCACGCACCCGCGCCAGGGGAGCGCCGCGGCCGGGGTCGTGCAGGACCTCGGTCACCACGCCCTTGATGTAGCCATTGCGCTCCGCGGCGTCGAGCTTGCGGATCTTGGCCGCGCCCTTGCGGTGGGTGTTGTGGCTCCTGAACACGGACCCAGCACCCTTACGCTGGCCACGAATGACGCGACCCATCTTTGGCCTGCAGGGCAGCGGCAGGGGGCGGCGGCGGGCTGCGCTTGATGGCCTGCAGGCCGGTGGGGAAGGCAGCCTGGGGGCCGCCGCCGCCGCGCTGTCGGCTGCGTGGAGGGCGGCAGGCTGCCTGCCTGCCCCCCAAGATGCGCCCCGGCCGGCGCGGCCATGCCGCCGTGCTGGCTTGCAGGTCCTGGGGCCGCCCAGCCGCTGGGGAGCGCGCTGCAGGCTGAGGAGTCCATGCCACTGGTGGCCGGCATCGCGGCTGCCTCCCCAGCGCCGCAAGGGCTGTTCACTGAGTCCAGGTACACCCGCTGATGCTGCCCGCGCCCCGGCTGGCGCTGTCACCGAGCCCATGACCCTGCTGCCGCCTGCATGCCCCGCGATGAGCGCTGCGGCGCTGTTCAAGTGGTCTCACCTGTCCTATCGACCCAAGGCCACTGGGAAAGGAACGAGGCCGGCTCGGCCCGGGCCCAAGAGCGGGCCCCGCCAGGGTCGCACAGTTGGGCGCATGGGCCATTGGACAGTGGATGGGCATGAACCGCACCCCGTGAGGGGGCCGACAGTTGCAGTGATCAAATCGTCCCATTTGAAGTGCCCAGAGGCTCTGTGGGCGACGACATGTGGGCAGACAGGAGAACTCGGCAGCCTCTTCAGCATTGCAGCGCTATCCCATGTGCTGTCAGGAATCACGGGGTGGCCATCGCAACACCAAGCCGCCCGAAAGGTCGTCATTTGGGAGGTGCGGTACAGTTTCCCAGGACAGCCGAATTCCAATTCACCGATGCAGCAGCAGGCCCACCCGCAGGGCGATAGCATCCATCGCAGGCCTCCAACAACCGAAACAGGACCCCCAATGACTGGCGACAGGCCGCAACAGGCCGCAGCTTTTGGAGACCCACCGAGCGTCCGCCAGCAGCCGCTCATTACCATCCACGAGAACGACAACCCCAACCCAGACTCGCTGGCCGCCGGACATCGCCGCAAGCGGCGCGGTGGCGGCGGCGACGACCCGCTGCCGCCCTCTGCGGCGCGACCGCGGCAGCAGTCACGGGCAGGCAGTGCAGCAGCAGCACTAGCAGCAGGAGCAGCGGAACACGGAGATGATAGGCCAGCCAAACGGCAACGCACGGCCAAGGCAGTGGCCCAGGCTGCGCTGGCACTTGCCGAACAGATGGAGGCAGCGGAGGATGAGGAGACTGGGGAGGAAGCAGCAGCGCCACCAGCACCACCAGCGGCTGCCAGGCCGCGTCAGCGGCGGCAGCGCGTGCTCGTGGACGTGCATGGTGGCGTCGGCATGAGTGCAGCGGGCAGGCAGCAGCTAGAGCCTGAGGAGGTGGAGAATGAGTATGAGCGGCAGGCAAGCAGTTTGCTCTTGGGTCCAGCTTGTGATGTTTATTGCAAGCAGCAGCATTTGCCGTCTGTGTGTCTCAGTGTGCCTGAAACCAGTTGAGCCATCGCCTGCACCTGCTGCTGCAGCCCACACCTCGGCTTGTCCCTGCCTGCCTCCTCATTGCCTACCCCGCAGCGGCTGGAGCGCATCCGCCGGAACGAGCAGATGCTGCGGCAGCTGGGCGTGCAGGAGGCGGCCGGCGGCCTGGCAGCCGCGGCTGCGGCAGAGCAGCATGCAGCGCAGCCCACAGCCCGCAGCCGGGGCCCGCCGCGGCCTCGGGAGCGGCGGCCCGCCCTCCCCGCCGCAGTGCTGCCGGCACGCAAGTCAGCGCGGCAGCGGGGCGACCGGCCTTTAACGCAGGAAGAGGCGGTGGCGGCGGCTGCGACCGAGCTGGGGGCAGCTGCAGTGCCAGACCTATCCCAGGCAACAGACAAGGAGCTAGGTGGGGGTGGGCTGCGTGACTGGCTGCTAGCCAGGCAGACGTTCTGCTGGCCCAGCAGGCTATGCTCTGCGGGCTTGCCTGGATCTCCTCCCCACCCCGCCCGCCTGCCCCGTTGCTGCCTGCCTGCAGAGCATGGCGCGCTGCTGGATCTGGAGCAGTACTTCAAACTTATCGGGCAGGACATCAGCGAGGCAGTGCACACAGGTGGGTGCCGCCGCAGCCGCCAGTGCAGCATCAACTGCCAGTGCATGAGCCTACATCTCCCGCTTCTGGGTGTGCACACTGCCTGCTGCCTCCTGCCGCCTCTGCAGACGGCCGGTTCCACGGCTGGGTGAACCCCGTGGTGTGCGAGCGGTACGGTATTGCGGGGGGCGCAGATACCGCGTGGGAGGCGGGCGGCGGCGGCCAGTTCAGCTTCAAAATCGACAAGAAGGGTGGGTGGGCGGGCTGGCGCCTGAACACCTTGATCCCCTGGGCCAGGACTGCCAGATTGGAGGGAAGTTGCCCAAAGGGCCAGCCTGGCCTGCCGGCTTCCAGCCCTCCGTCTGTCGCCGTGCTCCTTGCCCCACCCCACCCAGCGCACAGACAATGCACACGTTGCACTGCCCTGCAGCCATCCCTTCCAGTCTCAAGGGGCGTGGCTGGAGAGACGCGCGCGCCTTCTCCCACACCCAGCTTCAGAAGAACCCAAACTCATACTTCTATCGCCATGTGGCGCCACACGAGCAGCAGGCACGCCATGAGGAGGCAGCCAATGGTCAGGCCGATACGGGAGATGGCAGTCAGGCTGGGGAAGGGCAGGTCCGGCAGCTGCCCCCAGCGATTCGACGCAACGGCGCTGCTGAAGGCTGCCCATGCATGCGGCTGTGCTTGGGTGCAGGCGCAGGGGGAGTGGACCGAGGAGGAGCACCGGCTGTTTGTGGACACGGCGCGGGCGCACGGCGTGGGAGACAAGTGGGGCCTCTTCGCCTCCTACCTGCCGCAGCGCGTGGGCTACCAGTGCAGCGCCTACTACAGGTGAACGCTGCTGCTCGCCAAAGCCTGGGCCCGCGATGTGGGCTGCTGCTTCTGGCCGCACTGGATGGCGCTGTGACCGCCTGCCTGCTGCTCAAGGGGCGTCATCAGTGCCACCGCGGCCGCCGTTCCGCGCCCTGTGCAGGGATGTCATCATCCCGCAGGGGCTGGTCATCGACAAGCGCTTCCGGATGAGCCGCAACGGCAAGGCGGTGTATGTTGGCTGAGCCTGGGTGGGGCCCAAGGCTGCCAGTCTGGTCGGGGATGGCAAGCAGGACACAGCTGCCTCCCTGCAGCTTGTATATACCAGAGCGGCGGTGTTTGATTTTACAGCAATGCAGAGGGGGGACACCCTTTAAAAAAGCATTACAAGGGCGGGAGCGGAACAGGAAGGTGTTGGGTCAGGCAGCCAATGGTACAGGATCGAGGGGGATACTGCGGTGAGGTAGCTTTGGAAAATGTAGACTCGTTCATGCATTCAAGCACGACTGAAACATGCGAATGTGTGGTCCGTGCAGCACAGGAACCTGCAAGTTGGCTTCTCGCGGCGGCCCAGCGGCTGGCGGGGGCGCCCTGCGGACCCGTTAGTGTCACGACTGTGGGGCTGCCGCCATGGGCTGGCCAGCCTAGGGTGCTGCTCACAGCGGCTCCACGCCGGTGCCCAGCCAAGAGTACAGCAGCGCCTGCGGGCAGGTGACCAGGAGGGAGCAGGCATCAGCAGCAGGCTGGCGCAGGAGGGAGCAGGCTGGCGCGGCGCACGTTCTCGCCCACACCAACACATGCGCGCAGGAGGGAGCAGGCTGGCGCAGCGCACGTTCTCACCCACACCAGCATGCGTCTCCCCACACAACCGCAGACCGCCACCACCCACCCACACCTTCGCCTCCATGTACCACTTCTTGGGCGTGCTCATGTGGGCCCACTCGTCGTCGCTCACAGACCCCTCCCGCATCTCTGCCTGCGCCGGCCAGGCATGGCAGGACAGCAGCAGTTTGGGGCTGCGCCTTGGCGGGTGGCTACCGCTCGCACGGAGCGTCCCCTGCGCAGGGCCCTGCTTCCAGCGCACCTTCTCCTGCTCCACCTCCAAAATCTCCCGCTGCACCGCCTCGTACTTGTCCACGCCCGCCGAGCCCGGGTGCACGCCCTGCAGGGCGGGCAGCGGACGCGGGAGGGCTCAGCAGGTCGGCGCCGGCACGAGTGCAGGCGAGTGCAGGCGACGCCGAAGCATAGGCAGGATGAGATGCCGTGCGCTGAAGGAGTTGCATGCTGCAGTGCTTCAACCCCAGGCGAGCAGCCACCAGCGGACAACTCACGTGCTCGCTGCGCTCCTGCTGTGCCGCCAGGTGCGCCGCCTGTTGTGCCGCCGCCGCCTCCATGCCAGCGACGGTGGGCTTCACCGCCCCACCCCGCTGGCCCCTGCAGGCACCTCCCAAGGACATCCAGCGCTCTGTCAGCGCCATCCAAGCTGGAAAACGTTGGGGTTTGAAGAGGATCAACGATCCGGAACTCCACCTCTCGGAACCCACTCACCAGCCCACCGGGTCGTGGATTCCACTCGCTCCCACGTTGCCGCTCCCCTCTGTGCGGCTGCGCACGGCAACGCGAGGGCGAGGGGCAGCGGGGCGCCGGCTGGGAGCGGAGTGCGCCGTAAGGAGGCAGGTAGTGGAGGCGTGTGTGCTGATCATGGTGTCGATACTTGTATCAAGCTGCTTAGAGATAAACAGCCAGCCGAATAGACCACGCCGGGAGATCGCGCGTTCTCGGCCAGCTCACCCGCTCCGAAAATTGCAATAAGCATAGAGGCCTCGGCGCGAATATTGTCTATAATTCTGACATCACAGGCACTGGAGGGAGTGCAGTAACGCTTGTAGCCTTTCGGACAACTCGGTCAGGGTAGCGAAAGGTCTGCTGGGTGGTCTTGTGAGGCTGTCCATCGCCTTTTGCAATCTACCTTGGTTCTCGACGATTGCCGCGGGCAGGCTGCGATTGGCTTAGCACTCCACTCCGCAGGCCCCATTTAGTGGCTGCCAAGAGGCTGCGAGAGCGACGCTGGGGAGCCTGCCGTGGTAGGTAAGCCTGGGCGGGCGAAAGGGTATGCTGGCGAGCCACCGCCGCTGCCGCCGCCGCCGCCGCCCACCTGGCTGCGTGGCAGGGAAGGCAGCTGCGTGGAGAAGCCCATGCCAAGGCCCTGCAGTGCCACCGAGCCCGGCTGCTGGCCGCCATGCCACGCACGCGCCGCGCCCGGCCCGACCCTGCCGGGCTGTGCACGCAGGCGGGTGGCGGCAGCATCAGCATGGGGGCGGGGCGCAAGACGTTCAGCTATGACTGCGACACACGCAATGAGACCAACTACCGCTTCGAGCAGCAGCAGAAGAACCTGGGCACGCAGCTGGGGGGCGTCATCTTCAGTGAGCGCCGCCGCCGCCGCCGCCGCTGCTGCCGCTGGCTTGAGGCCCCGCCCGCCTGCCCGCCGGCCAGCCTGCAGAGCAAGGAATGCAACGCGTGGCTTGTGTCCCCTCGGCTGAGGGTGATCCCCCTTGTTTTGCCCGACTTGTCGCTACTGCCTGCACCAGGCCCGACCTCGCCGCTGCGCCGCCTGCTGCCCCGCAGTGTGCAACAGCAGGACGTACCGAACCTGCATGGACAACATGATGTTTGGCCTGCCCTCCCCCCACTGGTGCTACGTGCAATATGTTCGGGCCGGGTGAGGCAGGCATGCGCGGTTTTGTACTGATCTGCAGTGCACTGTGGCGCGATTCATTTACCTGTAAATCGGCACGCTAAGCGTGCCTGCCTCCCTGCCCGGCGGTACCACACTGCAGGATGCCGCTGTTCCTGTTCAACTTTGAGACCAAGGAGCTGCACGGAATCTTCAAGGCAGCCAGCGACGGCGACTGGGAGATCGACCCGTACGGTGGGCAGCAGTATGATTTACCCTATTCTTTGCCTGTTTTTAGTCTTTCTTTTATAAAGGGCAGGTTACAAAATTGATCTAATGGATCCCGCCGACGCACGCTGCTGCACCGCCAAGCTGATGCGCCCGCCACCTGGCCTTGCCCGCCGCCGCGTGTCTGCTGCGTGCTTGCTCCAATACGCCACGCCGCGGCCTTTGGCTGCCTGCTGCCCAGGCCAGCCTGCACGTGTGCGGCGCCGCCCACCTGCCAGCTCCCCGCGCCAACCCCCAACCCCGCCCGTGCACCCCGCCCGCCAACCCCCTCCCCGCCCACGCGCGCGCGCAGGCTGGACGGACGGCAGCCGTCGCACGCCCTACCCCTGCCAGGTGTCTGTGGAGGTGTACCTGGCCTGCCCGCCTGTGCCTGCCGACCAGCTGCGGGGCGTCATCGCCGAGAACTACCAGGGCAACACAGACAAGTTCCAGGTGGGGGTGTGTGTGCAGCTGGTGGGTGGGCAGCTGGGGTGAGCTGCTGTGTGCAGCTGGTGTGTGCAGCTGGTGTAGCTGGTGTGTGCAGCTGGTGTGTGTGATGGTGGTGGCAACAGTGGTGGTGGCGGTGGTGGTGGTGGTGGTGGTGGTGGTGGTGGTGGTGGTGGTGGTGGTGGGGTGCTTGCGCCTGCGCCCTTGCCCAGCAGGGCCTCGGCTGGGCTGCCTCTGCCGGGCTGTGCTTTCTTCTGGCCGCCTCTGCCAAGTCGTGCACCGCTGGCAGCCGGGGGCTGCTCCGCCGAGCCTGCCACGCGCTCGCCGCGCCACCCGCCCTGCAGCAAGAGCTGAGCAAGAAGCAGGCGGCGGAGCTGTGCGCCCTGTTCCGGCGCAAGCGGGAGGGCGCCGGCGGCGCCGCGGCCGCGGCGGCGCTCGACGGCTGGCCCGGCCTGGTCGCCGGCGGCGGCCAGGCGGCCGCCGCGGCGGCGCCCGCCCAGTTTGTGCCCAGCGCCGCGCCTGCCGCGGCCGCATGGGCGGGCCAGCGCGGCGCGTACGCCGCCAACGGGGGCCGCTCCCACGGCCCAGAGGCGAGGGAGGCAGAGCCTGCGGGGCCGCCAGACCAGGGAGGCAAGACGTTTGCCCAGCTGCAGGCAGAGGAGGAGCGCAAGGCGAAGAAGGCAGCCAAGAAGCAGCAGCAGCAGCAGCAGCAGCAGGCGGCATCCAGCCGGCCGGCCTCTGCCGCCGGCGGCATGCCGGTGCCCTCGGCGGCCCTGCAGCAGCTCCCCATGTCAGCGCTCTCCCAGGTCGGCGCCGCGGGCGGGGCGGCCACCTCGGCCGCCGCGGCGGCCGCCGCCAACCGCACGGAGCAGCAGCAGGCGGCGGGCGTCCGCCGCGGCGGCGCGCCGGCGGGCGCAGGCACCGCAGGCGCAGCAGGCGGCGGCGGCGGCCGGCAGCCGGCCCGCGGCCGCGGCGCCTGCCGCGGCGGCTGGAGCGTCCTCTGCCGGCGGCAGGCCTGGTGTGGACCTTTTGGGCGATGAGCTGTCTGGCCTCAAGGCCACGCTGGCGCCTCTCATCCGGAACATGCTGGACCTCAAGGCGCGCACACTTTCTTTTTAAACGCATGCCGCCCGCTCGGCCCGCACCGCCGCGCCCAGCTGCCGCTGGCCTGCTAGCCCGCCGGCCGTGCTGCCAAGCGCCTGCAGCTGCAGCGCAAGCTCCACGCACCAGCACCACCCGCGGGCCGTCCTTCAGCCCGCCTCTGTCCACATGCTCCGTCCTCCCTGCCGTCCTGCCCGCCCCGCACTGCAGATGGATTCGGAGCTCCGGGTGGCGGCTGCCCTGCAGGGCCACCTGTCCCGCCTGGATGATACCCTCATGAGGGTGCAGAAGGAGCGGGGGCAAGCGATGATAGAGGCGCAGGTGGGGTGTTGGAGGAGGGGCTGCTGCTGCTGCTGCTGCTGCTGCTGCTGTGTGTGTGTGTGTGTGTGTGTGTGTGTTGGGTGGAGCTGGGAGGCCAGAGGGGCGGGGGCCGGGAGGGCAGCAGGAGGAGATGCGTGGGAGCGCGGTTGGGAGCGGGGGCGATGCCCCGGGCCCGCCGCCTGCTGCGCGGGCCTCTGCCCTGATGCAAGCTGCCGCGCCGCACCCCTCTTTGGCCCCGCCCACACCGCCGCTGCCCTGTTCCCTGGCGCCTCTGCCGCTGCCGCAGAAGCTGGCGGCGCAGCTGGCGCAGGCGCAGCAGGAGAGCGCCGCCATGCGCAAGGCGCTCCAGCTCAGCATGCGGAGCGCCGGCGCCAGCGCCGACGGCGCGGGCGCCTCGGCGGCCGCCGCCGTCCCCGCGCCCCGCGCCGCCGCCGCCTCGCCAGGCGCGCCGGCTGCTTCGGCGGCGGGTGGGGCGCCTCAGAAGAGAGCAGGGGACGAGATTTACTTGCTGGGGGGAAACAACAACACTAGCGAGGCGGCGGCGCCAGACGGCGGCTGGCTCCGCAGCCTGCTCATCTACACACCCGCCACAGGCTCCTGGCGCAGCGGTGAGGGCCCTGCCTGCCTGCCCGCTGGGCCATCCATCCTGCCGCTTTTATTCAGGGTTTGGGGTCCCGCCTGTGCGTGCTGCTGCACGCTCCGCTCCCCACCGCCGCCGCTCCGCCGCGCCTGCCCCTCCCCACCGGGCTGCACCGCACGCGCCGCCTCCCCGCAGGCCCCGACATGCCGCTGTGCCGCGGCTACGGCTCCAGCGGGGTGCTGGGGCGCCACCTGTATGTGATGGGTGGCGGCAATTCTCACGAGTGGCTGGCCGACTGCCGCCGCCTGGACCTGGCCAGCGGCAAGTGGGAGCAGGTGCGCGCCTGCGCCTGCCCTGCGGCAGCACCTGGCACGGGGAGGGTGCAGGCGGTGGAGGGTGTGCGAGCGCAGGGCAGCCTGCCATGCCAGCCAGCCAGCCAGCCGCCTAGCGCCCCTGCTCCCCACGCGCACACACCCTCCCTACCCTCCCTTCCCTTGTGCACGCACACTGCCCTCCGCATCCCCATGCGCCTGCTCACCACCGCCACCGTTACCTCCACCACCACCACCACCGCCGCCGCCACCGCCACCCTGCTGCAGGCCCCCTCCATGTCGGTCCTACGCGGCTGCGCGGGTGCCGCGGCGCTGGGCGCGCGCCTGTACGTGGCGGGCGGCGGCGTGGCCGACTCCCAGTTTGACACAGTCGAGATGTTCAACCCGGAGATCAATGCCTGGATGCCTGGTGAGGTGGCGGCGAGATGGCGGCGAGGTGGTGGGGGCTGCAGCATAGGGCTGGGGCTGGGTGGCTGGGTGTCTGGCTGGGTGGCCTGGGCTCGCGCTGGCTAGGCTGGGGCTGGGTGGCTGGGTGGCTGGTTTGTTGGTTGGCCTGGTCTAGGGTGGAGGCTGGGCTGGGGCCGAGGTTGGGCTGGTGGGAGGAGGGGCTGGGGTCGGGTGCGACGACCGCCGCACGTACGCACCCATGCACCCGGCGCCGACGCTGCAGGCCCCAAGCTGCGCGCCAAGCGCTTCTCCACCGCCGCCTCTGCGCTGGACGGCTGCGTGTATGTGACGGGCGGCTACGACGGCAGCTACCTGCAGGTGCCGCCCTGGCTGCCGTGGTACTGGTACTGCTGATGCTGGGCTGTGACGGCAGTGCTGGTACCGCGCACGCTTGTGTGTGTGTGTGTGTGTGTGTGTGTGTGTGTGTGTGTGTGCGCTCTGAGGGCGGGCCTGCCTGGCCTGCTTTCCCACCTGCCTGCCTGCCTGCCTGCCCGCCTGCCTGTGCCCTCCCCTGCCCCGCAGTCTGCTGAGCGGCTGGACCCTCGGGAGGGCAAGTGGCAGCTGGTGAGGCGCCGTCCCCCTTGCCCGCTGCCGCTGCACCGCAGCCCTTCCAGCCCTGCATGGCTCCTCCTGTCCCAATCTCACTGTTGGGCCACTCTGTGGGATCCTCACCCACCGCTTCCTACCACCAACACTCCACCCCTGCCTTCCCATCCTCACCTGCGCAGATTCCCGACATGCGCGAGAAGCGCGGCGCGCACGCCTGCTCCGCCGGCCCCGGCGGCCTGCTGTACGTCGTGGGCGGCTACGACGTCAACCACCCCAACAACGCCTTCATGGCCACAGGTGGGCCACGTGGGGTGGCTGGTTGTGTGGGTGGAGCAACGCCGGAGTATGGAGGGTGGCGCTGGGTGTGTGGTGTGGTGTGGTGTGGTGGGTGGGTGGGCAGTGTGTGCCGGGAGGGTGCGACAAAACGGTGGTGGCAGCAGCAGTGCCTGGGTGCCCTGGTAGCTGCCGGGGCAAGCTGCTGCCGCTCACCTTCTGCTGCCCCGCATGCTGGCCCCTCCCTGCTGCTGCTCCGCAGTGGAGGCGTTTGAGCCGCGCATGGGGCGGTGGGTGGCCAAGCGGGGCATGGGCCAGGGGAGGGCCTACAGCGCGGCTGCGTACGCCGACGGCGCGCTGTGGGTGGTGGGCGGCATGCAGGGCGACAACTACAACGAAACGTTTGAGCGGTGAGGGCCGGGGCGGCGGGAGCGGCAGGCGTGTGCGTGTGTGTAGTGGTGGCGATGCGTGGTTGGGTGGAGGGCTTTATGCAGCTGCACTACACACCAGCTGCGCAGCTGATGGTGCGCCTCGCATCCTGCCCATCCTGGCCATCCTGCCGCCCCCACCTCCCCTGCTTTCCCTGACCAGACCTGCCTGCCCCGGGCCTGCCCTGGTGCAGGTATGATCCCGAGGCCGACCACTGGGTCAGCGTGGCGCTGCCCCCCCACATCTCCACCAACCGCGCTTTCCTCACCGCCGATGTGGTGCCCGCCCTCTGAAGAGGAGCAGTCGTCCCAGGAGAGCCTGCTGGCAGCGGGCAGGCGGCTGGCGAAGTTGCCGAGGCAGCCTGGCCAACCTGCGCCTTGTAGTCCTCCATGTTTCGCTCAAGGCCAGCGGCTGTCTGTTCCCTGCTATGTTCTGATGAGTGTTGTCGCGTCCTCCCTTTTAACACAGCTTTGTTCAAGGATGTCTCCCCCTTGCGGGGTGCTCGGAGAGGGCCACCAGCTGGCCGGTGCCGTGGCCGCTGCGCCATCTGGCGGCGGCAACATGCCGCGGGAGAATGCCTTCGGCTCATCGGCGCCGATCCCCTCAATTTGTCCTCGACGTTTCTTCAAAGGCATCAACCAAGGCATTGCGCTGTGCGCTTGAGCACCCTCCGCGGTCGAGCTTCTACCCAGCACCACTTCGCCTCGTGTGCGCTCGACACCCGCAACCCACTTCAGAAGGACTCTCCAGGATGCGGTTCGCCCATCTGCTGCTGCTGTTGGCCCTGGCGGCCACGGCTGTGTCGGGTAAGCGCACCATGCATTTTGCATGCCATGGCGGTAATAAAGCGCGTGGCACCCGCGCCCCCGCGTAGCTTCGCGTCCAGGCGCCGCCATCGAGCCCATCGACAGCCACCTCGGTGCCGGCCGGCGCTGGTCGGGCAGCCGGTAGCTACCAGGTTCCCCGCCTCCCCGCCGCCATCCACCCGCGGGCCGCCGCCGTCGCCACTCACCGCCCCCCGCCACCCTGGCTCCCCTGCAGCTCACAGCATCCCCGGCTCCAGCTGTGGCACGGTCACCCCGGAGGATAGGTACGACTGCTGCACGACAAAGGCTGATCACGAGGTGGATGACGACTACTGCAAGCAGGCATACCCAGAGGTAGAGTCGCCAAATCTCCCTCCCCTACCTTCGACGGGCCTTCACGCCGCTGTTGTTTGACGCCGCTGCCCCTCACGGCTGGCTGGCTGGCTTTGCTGCAGCGCCTGCTGTGCCCGGCCAGATCAGCCCAGCCTGTGCGAAGCGGTCCGCTGCCCTCCTGCCGTGCCGCTGCCCACCTTCCGCCACCCGCCCGCCATCCCCTGCCTGCAGCTGTACTCGCCCCCAGGCTCCTCCTGTGGCACTGTGAACCCCGACGACACCGAGCAGTGCTGCAAGGACAAGATTGAGGAGGACGAGGAGGATGAGTGGTGCCAGGAGAACTACCCAGAGGTGAGGCGCACCCCTCTGTTAATTCAAAATGACCCCCACCCCATTACTGCTGCTGTGGCTTCGTGAGCGCGACCCGCTGGCTACTGCCCGGCCCATTTAACCCGCCAGCCTGCTGCCCACTCACCCCGCTTTCCTCCTTGTCGCGCAGCTGTACGCCGACGGCTCCTCCTGCTCCACCGTGACCCCCGGCCAGAACGAGCAGTGCTGCAAGGACAAGATTGCCGAGGGCGAGGATGATGAGTGGTGCCAGGAGAACTACCCAGACGTGAGAGGCGGGGCATATAAGACCGGCGCCTGTGCTGCCGCTGTGGCAGTGGGGGGCTTGGCGGCGCACGCTTCTGGCCACCTGCGCCTGCCCCTGCCCCTCTGGGCAGCGCCTTGCATGTGCGTCCTTGCAGACGCGGACTGGCAGCTCTCTGCCCAGCAGCATCGACAGCCTGGGGCAGAGCTGGCCCTGCCCCTAGGCACAGACCTGCCCACCTGCCTGCTCTCCCTCCCGCCTTCCTTCTGCAGCTCTACGTCGTTGGCGGCTCCTGCTCCACCGTGACCCCTGGCCAGAACAAGAAGTGCTGCAAGGACAAGATCAAGGAAAATGTGGGTGATGAGTGGTGCAAGGAGAACTACCCAGAGGTGAGCCAGTCCCGCCAGCCAGGGACCACCCAAGTGCCATGCTGGCAGCCGCACAGCTGCCGCCTTAAGGCTTGTGCGCCTGCCGCGGCGGTGCCTGAACCACCGCCCCTGCCCTTGTCCTGTGCAGCTGTACAACCAGGGCGGCAACGTTGCTGGTGGGTTCCCGGGCGGTTGCATCGGCATGCGCGCCGTGCGACTCCTGCTCAGGCCCCTTGCCTGGCGCCTGCTGCTGCCACAGCCCTGCTTGAAGAAAGCGTGACATCCATGCGCTGCCCCCTGACCACCTCCACACCCCGCCCCACGCCCGCTGCTGCTCCTGCTGCAGACTTCCCTTACATGGCATACATCGAGAGCACCAAGGCCCCCAACGGCGTCTGCGGCGGCTCCCTGGTGGCGCCCGGCTACGTGCTCACCGCAGCCCAGGTGCGCCTGTCATGCACAGTTGCGAGCACCACTTCCCCACCCGTCCTCCCTCTAGGCATGCTGAAGCGCCTTCGAAGCCCCTCCCCCCCTCCTGGCCTGCAGTGTGTATTCAAGGATGGCGAGGCTGCCGCCGCCAGCGATGTCAAGGTGTGGGTGGATGGCAAGGAGTATGCTGTGGAGACGGTGCTGGTGGACCTGGGTGAGTAGGCGCCTGCCCTGGCTTGCCCCCCGCTGCCCTGCAGCAGCAGCCGCTTTTTATCCCTTGTCGTTATTGTTTCGTTGCTTGTGCTGCCGTGTGCATGCTATGGTGTGTGCTCTGCTCTGCTCCAGCGCCGGCTTCTGGGAGCCCACCACCTCTGAGCACCCGTGTGTGGATGCCCCTGCTTTGAACCGCACACCGCACGCACCCGTCCCAACCCCTCTCTGAGCCCCCTCCACCCGTGCGCCCTCCAACGCCCCTCCCGCCCCTTGCAGACAACGCCCAATTTGCCGAGTTCCAGAACAGCAAGTCTGAGAACAGCTGGGACGTCGCCATGCTGGCGCTGGCCACCGACTCAAGCGCCAAGTATGTGGCTCTGCCGCTGTCCGACGTGCCGCAGCTGGGAGAGTGGATCGACACCACCGCATGGCAGGAGGCCAAGACCTCCGTGGAGTGAGCGGCGGCAGCGCATGCGCTGCGGGTGCACGTGCATGCTGCCGCTCCGTGTTCAGCTGTGCTGCTTGGCAACCAGTGAAGCACGAATTCTGATCAGACTCTTGTGCCCAACCATGCCCCTGCCTGCAGGACCGCCAAGGTCCCCGTGTGGGACGGCTGCCCGCCCGGCTGGGCCGACGAGTTCTGCGCCGGCGGCGGCGGCTTCCTGCAGGCCTGCCCCGACGACAAGGGTGAGCCGCCGCCCTGCCGGCCACCACGCCGCTCCGCCTCCCAACCTCCCTCGTGCAGCGCTGAACACCTACTGGCATACGCTTGAGCCCCTGCGGTGCTGCCCCACCCGGCTGACCCTGCCTGCGGCCTGCGCCACCCGCGTCCCCACCCCGCAGGCAGCCCCGCCATGGCGGGCAACACCCAGGTGGGCCTCACCTCTGGCCCCGGCTGCGACGGCACCCCTCAGGACTACGGCTACTTCCTCAAGCTCTCCGACAAGGGCATCCTGGAGCAGATCACGGTGTGGCTGAACAGCCGCGGCGGCACCGGGCTGGACGCCAACATCCAGAACTGGCTGATCGAGGCCAATACGTACCTCTATGGCCGGAAGTGAGAGCTGTGCGGCAGCCGACGGCGCCCGTGGCGGCTCTGGACATGCGCTGCGCCGCCCCGGATCTACGAAATGACACCCGCCAACACTCTACACCCCCCCCCATTTCCATTTTGATTGGTCCCCCCATTCCCTGACACGAGCGCCACACGTATACGACGCGACACGCTTCTTCATGCACGCTTCTTGCGGATTTGCCCAGGCACGCAGCCTGGCGCTCTGCATACTCACGCAGCCGGCCCATTGCACATAGCACTAGGAGAGACATCAGTCGGGAGAGACAAGCCAACCTGTTCACTATTTTTCACGACGTGTATGCTCTTGTAACTCCCCCTGGAGACTCTGTGTCCCGACCACCACCCCCTACTGTGAGCAACAGCAGCAGCAGAGAACACCCCCTTGAGAGGAGCCTGATGGCAAAGGCGGCGGTGCGGGCGGCGTGATGCATTTGGGCGGGCGGCGGGCCGCACGTCCCTCTCTATCCTGATGGCGATGGATATTGCTGGCGCGATGGTGGCACTGCACCAGTAGCCCCCTGCGTTCACAACATCACAGATGGCGCCCAAGAACGCACATGTCCCAACATGTGGGCTGGTTCAACACCCAAGCAAGCTAAACATCTTGCTATCTAATCCAGCGCTTTGCGCGTGTCGGAGGCGAGTCGACACACGCAGAGGGCGCTATGCCCGCCATTCAAACAATGGTCAGGGTTTCCAGCCCAGCAGAGAGAGGGCGCTGAAACAGGTCTCCGCATGCTCTTCTCAACTGCGGCACTATCCATCGATGCGAGCACCTGCTGCCTCTCTCCAACCCCCAGCAGCTGTGCATTGGCACCCCGCAGCGGCGCCGCCGTCAGGCAGCCTCCCAGCAGCGTCCGCAGTGCAATGTAGACAAGCAGCATTCCGCGCTATGGCCCAGAGAGCGCCAGGCGAGGGACCGGCCGCCGCCCCCTGCCCTGCCACCACCGCCGCCTTTGGTTGGCGCCCCCTGCTTCGCCTCACTGGCTGGGCGCTCACGTGCCTGGCCATGCTGTGCTCTGCAGGTGTCCTGCGGCTGCGGCTGCCTGCGGCCAGTCCTCGGCGCCCGCCGTCCAGCCCAGGACGCATACTGGCTGCCCACGCCACGGCCGACGGCGGCAGCCATGGCAGCAGCAGCGACACCGGCAGCGGCGGCAGTGGCTCTCCCCCGTACTCAACTGATGCTAGGAAGGCCAGCGTGAACGAGCTGCTGAGCGGGGTGCTGTACTGGCGGGCGCAGCAGATCCGGCAAGGGAGGGACCCAAGCTCCGGGGCGCCCCCCGCCGCCGCCGCCGCCTCGCCGCCGCCCTACCAAAGCGTCATCGCGCCGCCGCCGCCGCCGCCGCCGCACCAGCAGCAGCAGCAGCCCGGCACCAACGGCACCAATGGTGCCAACGGCCTGAATGGAAGCGCGCTCGTCAACGGGGCGGAGGCTGCGGCGCAGCCGCTGGCTCCCAGCAGCAGCAACAGCATCGGCGGCGGCGGCGGCAGCGGCTCTGGGGAAGATCTCTCGTACCCCGGCCACCTGCTGGATGCGTCAGCCGCCGCCCGAGATGTGTCCGACGCGCTGGCAGCCTACAACGGCGCCATGGCGCAGCACAAGCTGGTCGCCGTGCGCTTCTGCCTGCGCATGCGGGCTCAGGCGGGGCAGCGCCTCAAGCTGGTGGGCGCCTGCCAGCACTTAGGTGAGCCTGGCTTGGCTGGGCTTGGCTTGGCGTGGGTGGGTCGGGCAGCTGTGTTGGCTTTGCTATGATGGGACATGGCCTGGGCCTGCGCTGGCCGTGGATCAGCCTGTGCTTCGCTCCTCCAATGCCTGGCGCCAGCGCCCCGCCATGCCCCCGGCGCTGCCCTGTGCCGCTGCCGCCGCCGACATTAATCGCCAGCCTCGGCCTGCCTGCTGTGGTGCAGGCAGCTGGAATCTGGCGGCGGCGCCGGAGCTGCGGTGGGCGGAGGGCGACACCTGGCACGCCACCGTGCAGCTGCCCGCAGGTCAGGCAGGGTCGGTACACCCTTCTTGCTTCCTTAAACATGCGGCTGCTGGGGAGGGGTCTGAAGTGCATGCATGCATACATTGCGGCCACACGCCGCCCACATGGGCTGCCGTGCCAATTCCTAACCCTGCGCCTGCCTCAACCCTGTGTCGTACTGTCACGGTACTGCCACTGTACCGCAGGCAGTGTCACGGAATACAAGTATGTGCTGCTGGATGCCAGCGGCACACGCGCCATGGCCTGGCAGGACGGCAACAACTCCCTCCTGTCGGTGCGGCTGGCGGAGGGCGCAGTGCCCGGCGGCCTCTCGGTGTATGACGACTGGTGAGCGTGGCGGCGCCACGCGTGGGCGGGAGCACCAGCTGGCGTGCTGGTGCCAGCTGGCATGCATGCAGGCAGGCAGGCATGCATATGCCAGTCCTGGTGTGGAGCAACATGCACTGGCAGGCATGCTCCGCCCCACACCCACACATGTCTTGCCTGTCACCGTGCTCGTGCAGGTACGCCGGTCCCGGCGCCAAGCTGGCGGTCGGGACCGAGCCGCCCGCCACGCGGGACAACCGCCTGCAGGCCTGGGCTGGAGACCTGTTTGCGCAGCTGGAGGTTCAGCGCCAGGTAGGAACACCCCCCCCCCAGTAATTGGGGTGGAGCTTGGCACACAAGAGCACAGAGGGGCGCGGACATGTTTTGAGTTCTGTACTTGAGATGAATGTGTCGTTGGTTGCTGATGGCTTTCGGTGTATGCATGCATCTACAGGACTTGCGCCGCACGCGGGTGGAGCTGGCCGGAGCGCAGCAGGACGCGGCCTCCGCTCGCCTGCTGGCTGAGCAGGCCACGGCGCAGCTGGCGGCGCGGGAGGCCGCGGCCGCGGCGGCGCTGCAGGTGGGAGCGCTCCCAGCTGCGCTGAATCGGTTTGCCGTCGCGCCGCCCCGTCCCTGTCTGCTCCCCGGCACCTTATTCCACCGCTGCCTGCTGCACGCACCGCTCGACGCGCCTGCCCTGCGCTGCTGGCGGCCTGCCTGCGTGTGCGCAGGAGGCCCGCATGGCTCAGCTGGAGCTGCAGCGGGTTCGGGAGCTGCTGGTGGAGAAGGAGGGCGAGCAGGCGCAGGCCGTGAGCAGCTACACCCAGGCCCGCACCCTGACCGCCACGCTGCAGGCGCAGCTGGCAGACACCACAGCCACCCTGCAGGAGGCGGTGGAGCTGCTGAGTGCTCAGCCCGAGGAGGAGGAGGAGGAGGTGGGAGCCGGGGCAGCGGGGCCAGCCAGCCCTGCGCCCCGCAAGCGCCGCTCCAGCCGCAAGGCAGCGGTGCCGGCAGCGGCAGATGCGCCGGAGGAGGAGGCGGCGGAGGAGGAGGCACCTGCAATGGAGGCACCCCAGGCACAAGTGACAGCAGCAAAGCCCGCCCGAGCACGGCGGGGCAGGCCTAGCAAGGCAGCCCTGGCGGCAGCGGCAGCCGCGGCGGCAGAGGCCGCGACGCAGCCGAGCGCGCAGCTTGCCGCGGCGGCCAGGGCGCCCCGAGCGAGGAGGGCACGCAGCGCAGCGGCCGCAGAGGCTGCAGGAGAGGAGGTAGCGGCGGCAGCGGGTGCAGGAGAGGTGCGGCTGGCTGGCGCCGAGGGCTCCCTGGCGGCAACATCCAAGCCTGCCAGGACCAGGCGGCCCCGCAGCAAGGCGGCAGCTGTAGTGGAGCCGACGGCGGCGGCAGGCGAGGCCGTGGAGGGGCAGGCGGCAAAGCCTGCCGGGCCGCGTCGGACGCGCAGCAAAGCTGTCACACCTGCCACGATAGTGGCTGAATAGGGTCAGCGGTAGCATGCCCCTGCCAGTTTTCCCTTGTAGCTTTCACGCAGTTTTCCGCTCCCTGCAATTCATTCGCGCCCATTCATCACTGTCTGTCCATCCGTTTGCGCCGCGTTATAGCTCGTCGTTCTGTAATGGGCTGCTTGCATTTCTCACTGTTTTGCTTTCCAGATGCGATGTGGAATTGGAAACATGCTTCCTCCTGTGACCACCGCTCTGCAGATGTCAGGCAGCAGCTGGCTCGGGGATGTCGCCGCAGCCTTGCTGCAGGCCCAGGGCGGTTGGTCGCATGTTGAGGAGTCGAGGAAGATACGCAGTGGAGCTGAGCAACAATATGTGGTGGCCACGGCAGTAACATGTGTGGCACAAATTGCACTGCCGGGAAGCAGTCGGCAGCGGCAGTAGCGCCAGTAGGGCGGCGGCTAGGGCGGCGGCGGGGACCACGACCCCACTCACCAGCAGGCGCCTGCCGCCGCCATTCCGCGCCGCGGTCTGGACCTTCAGGCCCCTGGCGCACGGGCTGGCCGCTGCGAGGAGCAGCAGGAGGGGCAGGCAGCGGTAGCCCCCGCGGCCTGATGCCATGGCAGGTTGCCTGCACTGGGCGTTGCTCAAACCCGGCCCGACAGTTTGGCGAGCAATGGTCCCGACGTGCCAGCGGCTTCTCCTTCTGCTCCGGCTCTCCCATGCAGGTGACCTCCGCCAACTGGTACCTCGCCCCCCAGCAGCCTGATGGACCTCTCTCCTCCCGGCTCAAGCCAGCTCTTCTCTGCCATCCCACATAACAAAACAGCAGGGTCTATGGCGCTGCCGTCGCAGCTGCCCGAGGTCCTCGGGGGTTCTTGTGTTCGCTGTTCCGGTCAGGGGGGGTCTTGTGTGTTTCCAGGCTCCATCCAGCCCGCTTTGATCAGCGTCAGGTCCATCATGAACGCTTGCCGGCTAATGCACCAGGTGCAGCGGTTAGGGGCTGAGTTCACAACATTGCCAGCGCGCAAAGCGGCTCAAAGCCGGAGAGCGCAGCGCCTTTCAACCCCGTCAAGAAAAGTACGATGGTGCTGTTTGTTGCAGGTGAACCAAAGGTATCGATCTTGCTGGCGCCCTCGCCGCCCTGCGCCGGCTTGGCGGCGCCGGCGAGGCGGCACCGTCTGAATTATCTGAAGTACAGACGGTTGCCACGAGGCGGCCGAGGCTGCGAATTTGGAGATGGTGAGAAAGGAGGTCAGGCATAGATCTGGGAGGTTTTACCATGCGACACGCCTGGGGGCGGCTTGGTGCGGCCGCATTAAGTGGCGACATGTTGCGGAAGAGTGCATTTGCGCCGGGACAGTTGAACAACTGAGGGAGCTTGCACCTCGTGCAGCACCTGGAACACGTGCACCTCTCCCTGCATGTGGGATGCAGGTGCCAGCAGGGTCAAACACGACATCCAGGTAGCTCCATGCCCTCAAAACTGCAGTGCCGCCAGCGATGCAGCTTGCAGCTTCCAGGCAGCATCAGTGGCCGCGTCTACAAGTTGTCGCGACTGGTGATTTAAACCACGCCTAAAGCCTTTGGAGTTCCCATTTTAACTCGACACACAACTGCACACTGCGATCACCCGCCAAAATGCGCAGCACACCTGCTGCCCTCGCGATGAGCGTCCTGCTCCTGCTTGCGGTCAAGAGCAGCAGCGCGAAAACGGGTGAGAATGGCGCACTTTTGCTCCAAAGGGTGCCGCGTGCCGTCGCCAGTAACTCGACACCCTTACCTGGCGCCAGCGCCTCGCCTGAGCGGTGGTGGGCTGGTCAGCCGGTGGGCGCCATCCCGCCGCCCACTCCCACCCCCACCTGTCCTGCCGGTCTTCCTAAACATCCGGTCGACCCTCACCATCACGCTTGCCTACCCCTCTTTCCTGCAGTGTATGTCTACTGGACGGCGCCTGGCTTTGTGGTGCCAGAGCCGGGCCAAAGCTTCTCGCTGTGCAAGGGAGACACGCTAGTGCTCTGGTGGGGCAAGATCCATGTCCACAACATCTGGCGCATGGCCTCCTGGAGCTGCGCCAGCCCCGGCAAGCAGCTGTGGCCGCCGCCGCCGATGACCGGCGGCCTCGCCGGCAAGGTCGCGTTCCCAATCAAACACAAGAAGGCTGGCACTTTTTATTATGCTTCCAAGTACAACAATCAATGCAAGAAAGTTGGTGAGTTCCAGCAGCAGAATTTCGTCCCCACCTCAGCACAAAATTGCCGGCGCACCGCTGGCAGACTCGCCCCTCTTGAGCCGCGAGTCGCCCCGCTCAGACGCCCTTCTGCCTCGCCCCTGCTCACTGCCACCTGCCCTTGCCCTCCCCACTGCTGTGCTGCAGACCACCGTATTGTGATTACCGTCAAGGACTGCACGCAGCGGCGGCGCAACCGGCGGAGCCTTGCCTGACGGCCCGGACGGCGCGCAGCAGGCAGCCTTGCGGCTCCACCTGGCACGTGTGACGCAAGAGACGCCCGCCCACACCCGGCTGCGCCACTACTTCTGCGATGTGCGCCCGGAGTGTTGTAGCCTGGATGGCTATGGCCGCCCACCGTATGTCACGGAGGTGCGTGAGCGGCGCTGCCGCCGCGGCCTGACCGAGCTGCGCACAGGCATGCACTGGGGGGCGGAGGAGCAGGGACGCCGCACTGGCACGCCCCGCGAGCAGCGCGTGTGCCCGCACTGCCCCGCCCTGGATGGCCCTGGCGGCATTGAGGACACCCGACACATCCTGTTTGTGTGCCCCCTGTATGCCGCCGAGCGCGAGCGCTGGCCGGAGCTGTTCCGCGAGTTCCTGGGCCTGCCGCCGGCGTCCGTCCCCCTCAGCGCATTCTTCCAGCAGAGCAGCACCGGGCTGGCAGCCCTGGCGGCTGCATGCCGCAAGAAGGCGCGGGACGCCGTGAGCTCACAGTAGCACAGTACCCTTGATTGATTGATCTTTATATTGTGCAGGGCAGGGGGAGGAGGAAGGGGCGCTGAACTCTCTTGCGGGACCGGCATAGGGCTGCTCAGGCGCCTGTCCGCACTGTCCCGGGGGAGACCCGCCCCAATCAGACTCCTCTCCCCCCCTGCTCTGTCTGCACCCCACCCCACCCCCCCTTCTCTCTCTCCCCGTTTGTGTATGGTGCATTCACCTTTCCAGCTGCTGCACCCCAGCTGGGCCCGTAGCATTCATTTGCTCCTTATGGGTGTAACAGACAGACAGACAGCCTGAGCAGCGCAGCCCGCCTCGCCCGCGCCCACTCGCATTATGACTTGCACCCCCACAAGCGCCTGTATTGATGTGCGGCACCTCTGTAACTTGCATGTAAGTCTAACGTGCACTGCTCGGTCTGTGAGAAGAGTTGCGGGCCTCCGACCGACGCGCGCCCGCCTGGTGTCCCGCCCGCCCGCCACCTCAGCGCCGCATTCTGAAAACTGCGTTAAGACGCGCCTCGGCCGCAAATGAGCGATTGTAGTAGTCATGTTGGCGCGCACCGTGTGCCGTTCACGTGCCTACAGCCATGTGGCGGCGGGTGTCTTCTTGCCAGGCGGCCTTCCCGCGATCGCGGCCTCTACAGACAACACACTGCATCTTCTGGTCGCTGCTGAAGGCTCGCAAGATGGCGAGGGCTGCCTAGAGGTTGTCTGCGACCTGCCGCTGTTTGCAACAGCGCGCGCACTGGCGGCGCTCCCAGCTGCATCGCCTGATGAGGAGGTGAGGCGCGTCTGCTGCTTCTCTCAACCACCACACTTCGGTGGTGGTTAAAACTCCAATTTGCAGCAAGTTTGGCCAGCACTAGTCCTTTCTGACCTGCCGGAGCCTCCGCCGCCGCCGCCGCCTGCCGCCGCGTGCCCGCAGGACTGCCTGGCGCTCCTCACCGATTCCGGCTTCCTGTCCATCCTGCGCTTTGATGCTGCCTGTGCCAGGTGGGACCCGCAGGCATGCCGCCAGGTTGGCTCCCCAGGAAGGAACCCTGGGGGACACTGGACCCACCCACACCCGGCCTGCTCCTGCTCTTGTCTCCCTCCTGGTTCCTCCCGCAGGTTTGTGGCGCTGCAGCAGGTGCCGCTGCCGCCAGAGGCGCCCGGGGACCCCTTCTGCCAGCTGGCTGTGCACCAGAGAGGAGGCGTGGTGGCGGCGGCCAGCCTGGGAGGCGCTGTGTGCCTGGCGGTCAGGGACGAGGCGGCGGCGGCGCCTGGCAGCGCCGCAGGCGGCCCGCGGTTCAGCCGGCCCGCGCAACTCACTCTGGGCCCCAACCTCTGGAGCCTGGTGTTCCTGGAGGGTGGGCCCGCGGGAGGCGGCGCCTCGCTGCCTGGCGACCCCTGGCTAGCAGCAGGGTCATGCCACACCGCTCTGCTGGCAGCCCTGCACCAACAGCCCGGGGACGGCAGCTTTGCAGTGGTGGAGTATCGGTGCAGCATAGCGGCAGGCCTGGGTGCTGGCCACGCCAGCGTCGTGGGCAGCCAGCTGCTGCCGGCCGCCCGCAGCCCGGCCTTCTCTCCCAGGGCGCTGGTGCAGCTGCCGGCGGGCTGGCAGGAGGCGGCAGGGTGCCGGCTGCTGGTGAGGGAGGAGGCTGTCGAGGTCCTGGCTGCCAGCGGCGGCGTCCAGGAACAGCCGTCGGCGGGGGAGTGGTGGGCGCGGCGGGCGCCGCCGCCGCCTGCAGCGGGCAGCCAGGAGGCGGCGGCGGAGCCGCCGGGGGTGCAGCCGATGGTGCTGTCCCACCACCCATCCTGGGAGGGGCTGGAGGAGGGGTCGGAAGGAGGTGGGGATGAGCACATGCCGGCGGCAGAGCCCAGCTCGGCCGCGGCGGGAATATGAGTTTGAGCAGTCGATCATGCAGACGGCGGCAGAAGGAGACAGCTCATCCAGCGGCGACGAGGCCACAAGCGGCGGCGCCAGCGGGCAGTTCATCAACTGCTGGTGCTGGGAGTGGCAGCCGCGGGGCCAGCCGCCGGCCCCGGTGCTGGTGTGCGCGCTGGAGGATGGCAGCATGTGGCGCGTGCCCCTGATCGCCCAGCGCAGCGAGCACGCACCCGGCGTCGGCGCCATGTTGACCCCCGGGCGCAACTATCTGCAGCGGCTGATGTCGGCGCAGCCGGCGCGCAGCATCGCGGCGCTGCCGGGACGGCTGCTAGTGTACTGCACAGATGCCAGTGGCCTGCAGCTGCTGCGCGAGAGAGGGCTGTCCCACACCCCGCTCCTGCCCGCTCACATGCGCGCCACCCACCAGCCGTGGCTAGACTGGGATTGGGTGTCGGACTGGAGCAGCCTGCCCGCCGCGGCGGCCGTCGCCGACTGCCAGCTGGCAGACCTGGAGGGCGGCAGCCAGCGGCAGCTGTACGCCGTGCGCCGCGCCACCGGCGGCGGCGCCAGCGCCGGCGGCGGCCTGTGTGTGCTGTATCCCGACCCCAAGCCGGAAACCGTGTTTGAGCTGCCAGGCGCCGCCGAGGTGCGCTGCTGCACGCGGCAGTACTTGCTGTACTGCTGCCCACACGCTGCCGGGTACCACCCTGCTGCCTGCTGCTGGCCGTGCTGTGCGCAGCCTCCCCAGCAGCACAGCCCCCTGATTTCCCTTCCGGCCGCTGTGTTGCAGGGCATCACGGGGCTGTGGGGCCTGCGCCGGCGCGCCGCCGACCGCCACCACAGCCTGGCGCTGCTGAGCTACGTGGGGGGCAGCAGGCTGCTGGCGGCGCAAGGTGCGTTCCACCCCGCCGCGCGGCACAGCCGCACCGTGCGGCCAGCCCTCCTGTGTGTCCTCCCGCGGAGGCTTGCCGTGCCGCTGCCCCTGCACCTTTTCATTGCGACAGAAGTGTCTGTTTTGGCTTCTGAGTTGCTGAAGAGCCTCCGCCTCCACCTTCCGCCGCTGCCTGCCCACCCGCAGGCGGCATCTTTCGTGACGTCACCGACTGCTGCTCACTGCAAGCAGACGCCCAGACCCTGGCTGCTGGCAACATGGCGGCGGCTGGCGCAGGGCCCGTGTCGGGGCCAGCCGCCGTGGCCCAGGTCACCTCCCAGATGGTGCTGACATTCAGCGCCGCAGCAGCGCCGCCCGCGAGCGGCGGCGGCCTCAGCCTGCAGAGCAGCGCCGGTGGCGCCGGCGGCAGCGGCTGCACCTGGCAGCCGCCGGCGGGCAGCAGCATCGGCGCGGCGGCGGTGGCGGAGCAGGCGGTACTGCTGTACTGCACCGGCGGCGCCGCCCGGCACCTCATCGCGCTCCTGCCGGCCGCCTCGGCAGCTGAGGCGCCGCAGGGCGGCTGCGAGCATGGGCAGCCCGCGGGCCATGTGACGCTCACGCAGGCGGCTGCGCTGCCAATGGCAGCTGAGGTGTCGTGCGTCAGCAACCTGCTGCTGGCGCCAGCTCAGCGGGCACAGCATGGGCAGCAGGCCCAGCAGCACTCGGCTGTGTTTGCTGTAGGCACCTACTCCTCTGCCGTCCTTCTGGTGCAGCTGCAGTGGGGCCCACAGCAGCAGGGCTCCCTGCAGCTGCTGCTGACAGTCGACCTCACTAGCACCAGCGCCGCCACCGGCCTGGCGTCGGCGGCGGCCACGGCGGCCGCGGCGGCGGGGCCGCTGTCCCCTCGCTCCTTCCAGCGCGAGCAACTCACTCCCGAGAGCCTGCTGCTGCTGCCCGCAGAGGCGTCAGCCAGCAGCAGCGGCGAGCTGCACGGCAGCCAGGCGCGCAGCGGCGGCAGCGGCGGCGGCGGTGCCATGGTGCCGGGCGCGGCGTCGCTTGTGGCGGGCCTGCGCACAGGCGCCCTGCTGCAGCTGCACTGCGCCTGGAGCTGCGGGCAGCAACAGCAGCCGCAGGAAGAGCTGCTGTCTGTGTCGCTGGGGCACATGCCTGTGGTCATCTTGCCGCTGCCACGTCACCAGCCCTTGGCGGCGGCGGCGGCGGCGGGAGCTGTGCCGCCCGCCGCAGCCGTGCTGAGCGACCGCGTGTCGTTGCTGCGGTACCGCCCAGCGGCAGCGGCGGGGCACGGCGGCGCCTGGGGCGGGGCCGGCCGCGTGAGCTGCCAGCAGCTGGCGCTGCCGCAGGTGCAGGCCGCGGCGGCGCTGCTGCTCGACAGCGGCGGCCTCGGTGGCAGCGGCCTGACGCTGGATGCCATGGCTGCCGCCGGAGAGGCAGAGGAGCAGCAGGAGGCGGCGGCAGGCGGCGCGCCTGGCCCCAGCGGCGAGCAGCAGCAGCAGCAGCAGCAGCAGCTGTTCCTGCTCTGCGCGGCCGCCGACGGCTGCCTGCGGATGGTCAGCCTGGAGTCGCAGCTACTGGCCGCCACCCGCTGCTGGCCGCTGCGGCAGCTGCTGCAGCCCAGCCGGCTGGCCGTGCACGAGGGCAGCGGCAGCGTGGTGGTGGCGGGAGCCTGCACGCTGCCGCACCACACGCGGCGAGGGGATGAGCATGTGGTGGTGGCGGGATTGGCGGCAGTACAGGCAGTGGACCCAGCCACAGGTGAGAGTTGCACACACAGCCCGCGCAGCGTGGGCTGTCTCTGCCGTAGCCATTCCTTTCCAATTATCTGCCTGCTGCGTCTGTCCTGCGCTCGTCACCGTGCCTCATGCATTGGTCCCTTGCTCGGCAGCCCTCTCTCTCCCAACCTTGTGCTGCCGCGTCTCATTCCCCCGTGGTGTTGCAGGCGAGCTGCTGGCCAGCTATTCAGGCTTCATGCCCGGAGAGAGCATTACCGCACTCGCCGTCTGGGACCCCAGCGCCCCCAAGCAGCCGGCCCAGCAGGCCCAGCAGCAGCAGCAGCAGCAGGAGCATGCAGTCGGCGCTGTGCCTCCCGGCAGCGGCGGCTTGGGGCAGGATGCCGGGGCTGCAGCAGCCGGCACGGCTGCGACCCTCGTCGACGCAGCGGCGGCGGCTGAGGGCCAGGAGGCTGCCAGCGGGCTGCGGTCTCACCCCATTGCCTTCTCTCCAGACTCCCCGGCCGCGGCAGCGGCGGCCACAGCAGCTGCCGCGGCTGCCGCCGGCGACGAGCGGCCCTGGGGCGGTCTCATCGCTGTGGGGACCACCATCGGCAGCGGCGGCGGCGAGGAGGGGGAGGAGGGGGAGAAGCAGCAGTGGGATGACGAGAGCGGCGGGGAACTGCAGGGCAGGCTGCTGCTGCTGCAGCTGGCGGCGCCCACCGCCGCGTCTGCCGGCGGCAGCCGGGCAGCGGCTTGGCAGGAGGCGGCGCCCTGGCAGGAGGCGGAGGCTCCACGGCGCCAGCTGCAGCTGCTGCCCGTGGCGGAGCTGCACCTCCCCAGCCGTGTGCTGGCGCTGTGCCCCGGCACCACCCGCCTCACCGGCGCCGGCCCCGGCCCTGGCCCCGCCAGCGCAGCAGCAGCCTCCGGCACCGGCACCGGCGCCGGCGTCGGCAGCCGCCTGTTTGCGTCGGTGGGGCGCCGCCTGGTGGCGTTTCAGTGGCGGCAGCGCCAGCAGGCGCTGCGCCGTGTGACGTGGATCCCCACCAACCGCCCCCTGTGCGACCTCAAGGTGTGTGTTCTACCCCAGGCAGCTGCCTCCTGGATGCCCCGCCTTGTGAAAGCGGGGAGCTGCCTGTGGTGCTCCTGCTGGTGCAGCCTGCACTGGCAGCTGCATTTGCACCGGGACCGCGCCGCCTCCGCTCCATGCGATGCGCTCGCCGCGCCTGGCGTGGAGAGCCGCCTGCCCTGCCGCTGAACCCGCCGGGTCGTTGCTGATCCCGCCAGCTCGCTGCTGCTGCTGCTGCTGTGCTGCTTCCGGCGGTCCTGCAGGTCAGCCGTGGCCTGCTGGTGGCTTCCGACCGTGGCGAGGGAGTGACGATGTACCGGTACTACGAGCCGCACCCCGGCAGCCCTCGGGCCGCGGCGCACCTGCAGCGCAGCCGCCTGGCACGGCGCCGCCGGGTGGCGCCCCCCGGCGCCGCGGAGCTGCAGCACCGGCTGGGCATGCAGGCGCAGCACCCCGCGCAGCGCGGCCCGGGGATTGGTCCAGTGGCGGGCGGCCAGCTGCTGCCAGAGGGCGAGGAAGAGGAGCTCGGCTTTGCCGTAGTGGCTGCAGACTCTGAGTGCCGGCCCGCGGTCGGCGCCGTCGCGCTGCCTCCAGCCGACGGCGGCGCAGCAGGGCGCGGCGGCGGCGCGCCACCGCCGGCGGCGGCCGCAGCCGCGGTGCTGGATGCCCGCGGCCGCCTGGCGCTGCTGCAGCAGCGCTGGCCGCGGCACGAGCCCGCCCTGCAGCAGCGCTGCGTCTTCGCCTTGGGAGAGCCGGCGGCGGCGCTGCTGCAGGGCAGCCTGGGGTATCACGGCGGCGCTGTCGGCGGCGACAGCAGCAGCAGCGTTGGTGGCGGTGGCAGCGGCACCAGCGCGGCGGCGCCTCCGGCGGCGGAAGCAGCTCCCGGGGCCGTCGGCGCCGCCGCCGCTGCTGCCGAGATGGTGGCCGTGACGGTCGGCGGCGCCGCGGTGGCGCTGCAGCCTCTACAGCAGCACCAGGCTGCCCAGCTGCTGCGGCTGCAGCGGGCGCTGGCCCAGCACCCGGCTACGTCGCCGCTCAGCGGCGGCAGCCATGCCGCGTTCCGGGTGACGGGCAGCAGCGGGGTAGCGGGCGGGCGGGGAGAGATCTTCCGCCACCCGCCCCCGCCTGGCGGCGCTGGCGCCGCCGGCGCCGCCGACTCACCACCCGCCTCTCCGCTGACCCCGGAGCAGCAGGCAGGCGGCGGCGGAGGGCTGGGTGCCGAGCCCGCTGCCGCACAGGAGCCCGCCGGACCGGGTGCCATGGTGGTGGATCAGCCAGGCGGCGGCGCCGCGGCGCCGGCGCCAGCCGCCACCCCGCAGAAGCAGCAGCAGCGGGGCCAGCAGGTGGCGCAGGCGGAGCCGCCGGTCGATGCGGTGCTGGATGGGGAGCTGCTGCAGCACTACCTGCTGCTGGTGCCGGAGCAGCAGCGCCAGCTGGTGGCCGCCGCCGGCATCGACAGGTGCGGCGAGGGGGGCGAGGCCGCGGCGCGCCAGCTGGCCTGCCAGCTCAGCAACCTGGTGGCGCAGCTGCTGCTATAGTGGCAGAGGGGCATCTGCACAAGTTCTCGTTGGCGTGCTGCGTCGTTCGATTTGCGTCGACCCTGTGGTCTGCATGCTGTTGAATGTCGCTGTAGGGTGTGGCGTCCTGTTGATCTGTTTACAAGCCTATCGCCTGTTTGCCATCTGATTGTTACGCTGCATTCGCTTGCTCTGTAAGCCTCCCTGCTGGAGCGTCCAGCGTTTGGCACGGCAGCAGGCAGCGGCTGGCGGCGGCGGCGGCGGAGGCGGGCAATACTTTGTTCAACTGCCTGTCTGCAGCACCCAACTGCAACTCTAAAGCTTTTCTACACAGAAGCACTTGAAGTAGGTCAAATTCGCGCCCAGGGCCACGTGGCCGGAACCGAAGCCTTGCAGGGAGCGGCGGGAGCGGCCTGCCCTTCAGATCCACTCTGAGAGAATCTCTGTCACACCGACACTCATACCAGCGTTTCGGCTCTGTTGCAGACAGCTAACGAAGCCCAGCAACCATCTCCGACACCCACAGCGCCAAACCCAAAGCAGCTGCCGCCGGAATGGGAGGCCTGAAGGACAAGGGGATGCCGGGCAGAGGCGGCCACCTTCCGGGGGTGCAGCAGGTCTCGGCCTGGGTGAGTCCCGCTGCCGCCGCCGCCCGTCGCTGCCGCCTCCGCTGCGTCAGCGGCGGGCTGGCGCCCATCCCACCTGGCATGCCTGCGCCTCTACCGTGCTCAGGATTCTGTGGCATTTGTTGCGATTTTCCTGGCTTGCTGCATGTTGCACCCTGTATGCCGCCAGCCAGGATGCCGTGCAGTCCAGCGGGGCCCGCGCCTCCCTTGTCGCCACCCCCGGACCCCGGACCCCGCCTCTCTTGCCTCCCTGCAGGTCAAGGAGATGGCGCACCTGACAGAATGCGCGGTGGCCTTCCAGCCGGGGAAGCCCCCCTCCTACGCCTTCCCGCCCAGCTGCGTCGACTCCTGCGCAGACGTGCTCACCGTCGCCGCCGCCCTTGCCCTGCTGCCCTCGGCCGCCGGCGCCGAGCTGCTGCCCGAGGGGTGGCGCGAGCTGGCGCGGCGCGCGGCGACCGCCATCGCGCCAGGTGGCGGCGAGCAGGCGGCCGCCGAGCTGGCAGCGGTGCAGCGGGAGGTGCACCAATATGTGGCTGCACGCCTGCGCGACTGGCAGCCCGCCGATGCCCGCGGCGGCGTGGAGGCACTGCTGTCTGTGCTGTGCACTGACCCCCACAGCGGGCAGGCGCTGCCTCCGTACCGCCTGACCACCCAGTCGTACCGCGTGGAACTGCGGGGCGCGGACGTCACCGCCACCGACGCCGTGCTGGGCAGCAACGGCAAGCGCTTCGACCTGCAGAAGTGCCTGTGGGGCTGCGCCGCGCTTTACGGCGGCGCGGACGACCCGGCCAGCCCGCCAGCCGCGGGCGCGCCGGGCGCGCCGGGCGTGCTGCCAAAGTGGCTGGTGGTGACGCTGAGGTGAGCATGGGGGCAGGCGGGCCACCTGTGGAGCACCACCGCGCGCCTGCCTGCCCCCTGCGTAGCAGCGACGGCGCAGAGACCACCACCACCCAACCTGCCCATCTTCTGCTTTTGCCCTGCCCTGCCCTGCCCTGCCCTGGCCTCTGCCCTGCCCCCTCCTGGGACTCCGGCCTGATGACCTTCCGGCTGCCTCCCGCCCTGCCTCCCCGGCAAGCGCGAAGAGCACCGCGCCCACTTCACCCTGCCCGGCGCCGCCTCGCTGTCGTCGGTGAACGAGGCGCGGTGCGGGCCCGACCTGGAGGGCTGCGCCAGCCTGAGCCTGAAGGACGGCGGCAGCCGCCAGCTGGCGGCCTACGACCTGCGCGTGGTGCTGGCCACTGACCGCCACCGCCACCACATCGCGTTCTTCCGAGTGCCCCCAGGTGGGCTGTGCCTGCGGCTGTGGCTTGGTTCGTACACTTTGTGTGTCTGTATGTGCGCTGGGGTTGCTGAGCGAAGGCTGGCTGCTGTGCTCTGCCCTGCATGCTGCGGCGAGCGCCGCGCCAGCGCTCCCTGCCTGCTCCCCAGCACCCCGGCGCCCTGCGCTCGCCCGCTCCGCAGACGGCGGCCCCCAGGCGGCGGCGCCCCCAGGCTGGTGCAGCTACGGCATCTACGCCGACGGCCGGCTGTCAGCTGCGGGCGGGGTGCGGCCTTACCCAGACCTGCTGGATGGACACCTGGATGACGACCCTTCCAACATCACCTGCCTCATGTTTGAGCAGCGAGAGGCCCAGGTGGGGAGGGAAGTTTGGAGGTGGTGGTCGTAGTGGATGGTGTTGGGTGTGGAGTTAGAGGGTTTGAGAGCTGCCAGAAAGGCCTGCAGCTGCGGAGGCATGCATTCTCTGGACCTAAGCTGAATTGTGGGCATGCGCTGCAGGCGGGGGAGGCTGCGCTGGCTGACCTGTCGCTGAACGACGGTGAGCGGCGACAGGCGGCCGAGCGATGCGATGCGATGCGATGCAGTGCAACGCCGCCGCTCTGAACATGCCCGCCACTTGCACAGGAGAGCCTTGCCCGCCCCAACGCTCTGCTCTCACTGCCACACTGCGCTGCCTGCGACCGCAGGGCCGGAGGCGGCGAGCGTGGGGGCTGCATCAGCGGCGCTGCTGTCTGGCTTTGTGGCGGGGCTGGAGGGCTCGCGGCTGAGGCGGTACGCTGACGAGGCTGGGCTGGATGGCGGCGGCGGGAGGCGCCAGCTTGAGTCACGCGTGCTCCCACGTCTGCGGGGCGAGGTGCAGGGCTGGCTGGCGGCGCTGGCCGACGCGCCTCGCCAGGAGCTGCAGGCCCGGTGCAGGGCGGCGGGGCTGGAGGGGGAGGGCTCGGCTGGAGAGCTGGCTCTGCGCCTGGTGGTGCCCCAGCTGCAGCAGGTGGGCGGGGACGGGGGGCGGTGCATGCTGGCGTGGCGTGGGTGGGGCGGCTGGTGGCATGTAGCTGTTGCTGCGCATGTGTGGGCATGGGCGCTGTGCGGTGTACTGTTGGAGCTGAGATCGCGCCGCTGCTCTGTGCAGCGCTTCGGCCTGATCTGAGGTCGGGCTTTGGCTTCGAGTCGTCGTGGAGCCGCCAGCACAGTAGCATCATTCGTAAAGCAGAAGCAGCAGCAGCCTTGACCGCAGAGAGAGTCGGTTGTCACTGGGATTGAGGCCTTCGCCGTGCCGCTGAACCAGGACCCGCCGCTGCGCGTGACACACCCTTGATCGTGATATGCACAGTTTTCACCATGATACCATTTCCACGATGCACCATCCAGTTTAATTAAACCATTCCGTACTCCACTGGCTGCATGAGAGATGCATGGCTGCGCCAGGGCGCCGGGCGCAGGAGTGCCTGGAGCAAGAGGCGGGCTCCACAGCCTCTCTACGTCGAATCGGATGTTCCACGAGTCATTCCACTGGCTGGAAAACCCTACCATCGCAGCCCAGCAGCCTCCGGCTGTGCATGCTGCATGCCATGCATGGGGACGCGCCCCAGGGCGGCGGCGCCAGCAAGGCACAGCACGTGATGGCCGCCGCCGGGCACCGCGTTCCCGATCAAGGCGCACCTCGCTCGCAAACGATCATACATCTGTTTGGGTTGCAAAACATGGCGCCTGGCCTCCTCGCAGCGGCCCTGTCCAGCAAGTTGGCGGGTGACCATGATCTGAAAAAGCCCGAGCAGCAGCGTTATGGCCTGGATCCTATCGCATTCCCTTGTCTGCAGCAGCCGGGCAATGTAGCGGCCCCTCCACCAGACGGCCCGCCCGCGGCGGCGCTGCCCGCCCTCGGCTCTGCCAGCCCGCACATTCGGCTTGCGCCTTCGGTGAGCACAATGCACGCCATACGGGCATCGGGGGCGCCCTAGTGGTGGGTGGCCCCAGCATCCGCCCAGCAGCGGGGACCACACACGCATACCGCAGCATGCCGCCACCTAGTGCACCCAGCCCACCACCCCTGCCCGCCATGCTCCCGCCCCTTGCAGTCGCTGCGCGACCCCAACCGCAACTTCATCACCGAGGCGGTGATCGGCAGCCTGCCCGCGGCGCTGCCTGCGGATGAGCGCCAGCGCATCCAGGCCAGCACCCCGCTCTCCACCACCCTCAACAAGTTTTCCTCCATGCCGCGCGACAAGGTCACCTCCCCCACGCCAGAGGGCCAGCGGCTGCGGCGCAACGCGCTGAAGGGGGCACTGCTGGTCTTCATCACTGCCGGCCTACCAAGTGAGCGGGCTCTAAACGGAGGGTGGTTTGTGGGAAGCCGGGCTGGCAGTCCTGGGCTGTTGGGAGGATCAGGGAGCTGCACAGGCACTGGCCGGGCTGTTCATTGCCACACGGGGCGGGACCGTCCACCCCCTGCCGCAGGCAAGCGCTTCGTCTTTGAGAAGGCCAAGGAGCTGGGCGTGCGGGTGGTGCTGATTGATGGGCCCGAGTCGTGGAGCAAGGTGCGGCTTCTCCACATCCCAGGGCCGCACCTTCCGCTTGGCTGCGCCTCACGCTATCCTCACGCTATTCTGCTGCTGCCCGCCGCCCTGCCTCCAAAGCCAACGCTGACTGCTGCCCCGGCCTCCTGCCTCCTCTCCCTGTTGCAGGTGCTGGTGGAGGAGGGCGTGATCGAGTGGTTTGTGCCGCTGGACATGTCTGATGCAGACACAGTGTTCCACCGCTGCCTGGCCGCCATCCGCAAAGTGCATCACGTGAGCCTCCCCTGCCCACCCGTGCTTCTCCCGCAGGCCTGGTGGGGTGGTGTGTGGGCGGCCTCTGCTCATGCCTGTGGGGTTGGCTGGTTTCACAGGCCGGGAGCTAGAAGGCGCTCGGTGGCACACGCACATGCATGCTCCCAGGGCGGCAGCATTCCCTGGCACGCGCGCCGCCCAGCGAGCTGAGCCTCAGCCCTGGCCTTTGCGGCCCGTGCCACGCGCCTGCAGGATGCGGGGCAGCTGGACGGTGTGCTGTCCTTCTGTGAGATGGCCATGCCGCTGGTGGCGCGCCTGGCGGAGCGGCTGGGCCTGCCCGGCAACCCGCCGGGCGCGGTGGACGCGGCGCGGGACAAGCACGCCACGCGCGAGGTGCTGGCGGCGGCGGGCCTGCCCACGCCCCGCAACTTCCTCATCACCTCGCCCCGCCAGCTGGCGGCGGCGGCCGATGCGGTACGCTTCCCGGCCGTCATCAAGCCCATCTGCGGCGCCGCCTCGATCGGGGTGGTGCGGGTGGACGACTTTGAGCACCTGCAGGTGCGGGCGGCTGCGCTCCTGGGGGCTCACGTGTGGGGAGGAGGTGGGAGCGTGCATGCCTGGGGGAGCGGTGGCAGCAGGGTGCTGTGGCTGGTGCATCGGCCGATGAACGCCCCCTGGGGGCCGCTCCCTTGGCCGCCTGTTCCTCGAAACTTATGGGAGGTGCCCCTCCCGCCTGCTGCTGCTTTCCTGACCTCGCGCACCCTCCTGCTCGCCCTCCCTCCCTGCCCCCGCTGCAGCAAGAGTACACCAAGGTGCGGCAGGACATTGGCGGGGCCCGGGTGGTGGCCGGGGCGCTGCAGCAGGGCGGCGACGGTGTGAGCGGGCACGCCAGCAACGGCGACGGCAACGCGTCCAGCTGGATCAACACAGGTGGGGCCGGCTGGCTGGGGAGCTGGGTGTTGCAAAGGCGGCGTGAGAATGGAAAGGGAGGCTGCCACGCACGGAGCTTGCGGAATGGGGACCCCTGCCCGGCCGTGCTGTCCCTCGCTCCCGACCTCTGATGCTCCTTCTCCTCCTGCTGCTGTCCTCGCCTCGGCCCTCCTTCTCACCCCTTCTCTCCACCTTTCCTCCACCCCTCCTCCTTTCCTCCCCCTCTCCTCCTTTCCTCCAGACATCATGCTGGAGGAGTACCTGGATGGTCCAGAGGTGGATGTGGACCTGGTGCTGTCGGGCGGGGAGCCCGTGTACGGCGCGGGTGAGGCCAGGACCCTGCTCTCTGTTGGCCCACCCGCCTGCCTGCCTGCCTGCCTGCCCGCCTGCCCGCCTGGGTTGGCACACTGGCTGCCTGCTCGGGTTTGCCCACTGGCTGCCTGCCCGCCTGCCCGCCTTGGCACACCGGCCGCCTCTGGCCACACCGGCGCGAGCACACGCGCGCCTGCCTGTGCTATGCGGACACCGCAGTGAACGACAACTGGCCCACGCTGGAGCCCTACTTCAACGAGACCGGCAGCAACGGCCCCTCCACGCTGCCGCTGTGGCAGCAGCGCGAGCTGTGCGAGCTGGCGGTGGGGTCGGTCAAGGCACTGGGCTTCACCTCGGTGAGCGCGCTTGTCGGCTGTGCTGTGCTGTGTGTGTGGTGTGGTGTGGTGAGGCGGGGCGCGCTGCAGGCTGGCCGCCACGGCCGGCTGCCAGGCTGGTGGGAGGCGTGGGGGTGGCAAATCGGCAAATCAGAAAGCGAGCTTGGCACGGGGGACGGGGGCGAGACAGCATGCGGCCGGGTCAAGGGCACCACCTCCTCCAGCCGCAGCAGCGCTGACAAGGGTGTGTGCGTGCCGCTTTCCCTGCCGCGCAGGGCGTGTATCACGTGGAGCTGAAGCAGACCAGCCGCGGCGCGCGCCTGATCGAGGTCAACTGCCGCATGGTGGGTGGCACCCAGGGCAGGGCGCAGAGCGCCGGGCCCGTGCTGCCAGGCGGCCGTGGCTGCCAGCTGGGCGGCCTGACCAGGCAGGCAGCAGAGCAGGGCCTGGCTGCGCAGCCGGCGGCTCCAGCCCGGTGCCGGCCCATCCCGCTGAGCCGCGCCTGCCATGCTGCCGCGTCACCCTGCCTCCCTAACCGCCTCGCCTGCCCTGCCTGCCTGCCTGCCTGCCTGGAGCAGGGCGGCGGCGTGGTCAGCACCATGAACCTGCTGGTGTGGGGTGTGGACCTGGTTGAGGAGCAGCTGCTGTGCTCGGCAGGTGAGGCTTGGCTCGGGCCTGGGCATGTGGCGGTGCACTTGGCCTGGGGCCGGGTCGGACTGGCAGACGCGCACGTGACGCCCCTGCCTGCGAAACAAATGAAACGCCACTCCCGCCGCGCGCTGCTCCCTGCACGAGCGCAGGCATCCCCTCGCGCCCGCCGGTGGCGCCGCAGCCGCTGATGCAGGTGGCTGAGTACATTGTGAATGCCAGGAGGACCGGCGTGCTGCGCAGCCTGGCCTTCCTGGATAGGTACCAGGGCGTGCCAGGCGTGCTGTACGCCAAGCCCTGCGTTCCCGCGGGCGCACACGTGAGAGTCCAGCCGCCGCCCGCTCCCTCGCCCTGCGCTGCCAGGTGGCAGCCAGCTGCCGCGCGGCCCCGCGGCTGCCTTGCCTGGTTGCCGGCGCTGCTCACCGTCGCCGCCGGGTGCTGCCCGCCGACCGTCGCAGGTTGTGTGCAAGGAGGATGGGCTGCCGACCTGGGTGTGCCAGGTGCTGGTGACCAAGCCCACGCTGGCAGAGGCCATACAGTGGGTGACGGAGATTGAGGAGGAGATTTCACGAGACATGCCCATCGAGTGAAGAGAGAGGAGAGACTGACGTGCTGAGCTGGCGCCCATCTGGCGTCCATCTGGCGCCAGCTCGGCTTGGCAGAGAATCGCGGCCGCAGCCGCTGCACCACAGCCTGGATCCTGACGTTTTAACAGCCGACATGCCAGCATCCGATGCAAGTTACCCAAGCGTTCAAGCCACAAGCTCCTCCTTTTCATCGCACTTGGTTTTTGGGTGGGCGCGGTTGATTCTCGAGCCCGACGCACGCTTCAGCCTGATTGCTTCCCCCATCGCTTTCCCCACCGGCACTGCTCTTCCTTGCATTTCTACCTCCTAGCACACTTCCCCTATTCATCCCTTCATTCTGGTGCTGCCATGTACATGCAGCCATGCCGCGCAACCTGCTGCGCACCTATATGCAACCCCTGCAACACGCCCACACCCCCATTCAAGCAGGCTGGGAGCCGCCATGCGCCGGGTCCTTGCTCCTGTGAGGGTTTGAGGGTTTGCCACGTGGCAGGGCAATCAGAGTTAACAAGGGTCGCGCATCCCCCAGTCGCACAAGTATTGGGTCACCATCAATGACAGGGTTTGCCTGCTGGCAGCAGACAGCTTCCGTGAGTTCACATTATCTGGAGCAATTCTCGGGATTTGAAGCGCTGCTGCGCAAGTTACATGCAACAGGTGCACACGGTCAGGTGCTCACAACGACAACGGCTCTCGCCAGGGCTCCAGCCAGCCTGCGGGAGCCGCCAGCCAGCCTGCTCACGCCTGCTGCTTGAAGCCGCTGCCAGGGGCTAGCCGCTCCAGCTGCACCTCAAGCTTGTCGGCCACCGAAGACACCCAGGCCTGCAGGGGGCAGGGGCGGCAGCCAGCAGGCCAGTCAGAACTCACTCACAGCTCACCCCCTGAAATGAATCCTCACGCAACACAGCACTGTGCCCGCTGCCCTTCAGAAGCACGCCCAGCCACTCCACCCGCCAGCCCGCACCTGGTCCAGCCGTGTGTAGCCGCGCTGCGTGTCGCTGCCAGCCACCAGCACCCCCTGCGGCCCCACCGGCTGGATCAGCGCGGCCTGGCAGTTGGCGGGAAGGTAGGCGGCAAACTCCAGGCGCCCTGTCGCAGCGGCGGCGGCGGCGGCGGCGGTGGCGGCAGCGGTTGGCACACCCCAGCAAGCGGCGCCGGGCGCTAGGCAAGCAGGGAGGCCCCAGGGCCGACGCGCCTGGGGTGCAGGAATTAAGGGCAGCCAGCAGGCAGCCAACCGCGCTGCTGCCACCTACACCACGCCCACACAAGGCGCCACCGGAAGCACGGACCTGGGAACAGCACCAGGTTGGCCAGGTAGTTGCCTGTGCCGCTCTTCATGGCCTGCTGGCAGATGGGGCCGGGGGCGGCGGAGCCGAGGGCCATGCCCGGCGGCGCCACCCCCACCTGCATCAGGCAGTGCCCGTTGTAGAAGAGCACCAGCGAGCGGGTGCGGCTGGCGCTGCGCAGCGCATCCCATACCCTGCGGAGCAGCAGGGCATGGCAGTCATGGGCAGGCAGGCACGGGGCAGGCGGGGTCGGTGGGTGGCGGCCCGTGGGGTGGTGTCCAGCCACCCCAGCCACCCAGCTTGCCAGCGCAGCGTGGGGCCAGCGCCGTCGCCGCCACCGCACGACCGTCGCCACTCCACCGCCACCCAGCGCAGCGCACCACTGCAGCTCGGAGGCCAGCGCCTTGGGCAGTCCCGGCGCGCGCCAGTCCACCTCCTCCCCCTCCAGCTCCACTTGCACGGGGTCCCTGGGCTTGAGGGTGACCCACTGCAGCCCCGTCAGGACCAGCACCGCCGACATGACGATCACAAGCACGTCGGCACGGGACTGCACCGAGTTGGCCGACACCACGGGCGCCACCTGAGGGAGGGAGGAGGGAGGAGGGAGGAGGTGAAGGTGTGGGGCGGGGCGGGGCGTCGTGCACGCATGCGGGCAGCACGAAACAGCCGAGAGCGCTGCGCCAGGCGTGAGGGGGTGGGGCAGCCGGCGGCGTGAGCGCTGCAGGGCGTGCGCCGCGCTTTGCATCGCTGGTGCTGCGCTGCTGATTCGGCACTTGGGTGGCGGCAAGGCAAGCGGCGTACCCACCCCGGACACCACTCGGTTGGCCATAACGCCCACGATGCCGGCCGCCCCCACCACCAGCGGCAGCGCCCGGAATGCATCAGGATACCGGGCTATCAGGTCCTTGTCGCCCTGCGCGGGGGAGCTTGATGGAGGGTGAGGAGCAGGGGTGCAGGCGAGGCAGCGGGTCGGCGGAGGAGCCGCAGGGCGGGGCGGACCTGGTCGGCGCTGGCTGCAACGGGCCTGGCGCCCCGGCGGCAATGGCGGGATCGCGGCGCATTGCCCGCCGCTCGTCTACTGAGCGTAGCTGTGGGCGGGGTGCTGAGCGCGGCGGCGAGCATCACCACCGTCAGTGCAGCGAGTGGTGGCTTTCTGAAATGGGGATTGTGCAATCGGCTAGCGGAATTTGCAGGTTCCGGTGGCTCAAAGCCAAACGGCTGCTTTGGCTGTGGTGTCTGTGCTGCGGTGCCTGCGGTGCCCGGTTCCGAGGGAAACCGATCGAACTGCTGTCGATCGAGCATTGCCATCAATAGAATTGCTCATCGGGCAGGCGAGTCACAGCAGGGAGCCACTGTAGCGCACAAGTGCCGACCGCCCGAGGGCTTGCCGAGCTCTGCAGCAAGCACGCCGGCTCTAGACAGCGCCTGGTGGCGGTAGTACCAGGCAGAATGCCCCACATGGGGAGGATGGTGCTGGCGACAACCGCACCGCCGCTTGCAGTCAGGCGGGCGCAGTCGCCAGCCGAGCTGCGGGCAGCGGGCTGCCTGCGAGCCGCCGCCTTTGCCAAAGTGCCGCCAGATCGCAGCGAGTTCGCTCGGCAGGCAAGCTGGCTGGGAGGCATCAACAGGGTGCTTGCATGTTAGATACAAAAGAGCAGCAGTAGCGAGGTATGCTCCCTGTGCCGACCACCCCACCTGGCTGCGGATTCCTCTTCTGCAGAGCTTCCTGCGCATGAAGGCGGATGCGGCCTGGCAAGCGTTGGAGGGCAAGGTGGCCGGCACCGACCCAGCTTACAAGGACTGCCGCGTCACGCCGCTCATCGCCCTGCTGCCGGCAGACACGTGCCCGCCAGGCGCCGAGCCCGCCTGCATGCTCCCAGCAGAGGTGGGCGGATTGGGGCGTTGCCCAGCCTGCAATGTGAAGCACTTGGCCTCTCTGCGCTCGCGCCTGCGCCTGCTGCTGCCTGCTGCTGCCCTCCATGCTGCTGCTGCCATTGCCCTCTATACTGATGTTCCTGCCGGCGCACTAAAAGGAAGAGGGGCTATGTTGTGCATCCTCCTTCAGCCCGATAGAGGAGGGCCGCAGCTGGTGGTTGGCACGCTAGACCTGAACCAATGCGCCAAGCTGCCAGCAGAGGAGCTGCTAGGCCAGCTGCCGCAGCAGGGAGACAAGCAGCGCTTGCGAGCATACATCAGCAATGTGGCGACCTGGGAGGGGGCGCGGCGCCAGGGCGTGGCGCGCCGGCTGCTGCGGGCGGCGGAGGGCGAGGCGGCGGCGGTGGGCGTGCAGCACTTGTACGGTGCGGTCGCTGGCTGGCTGGCTGGCTAGCCCGCGGGATGGCGTAGTGGCTGCTAACGAGCGGCCTGTGTCTCTGCTGCTGGCCCAGGATGTGACCTTCATTCCATGCACCTGCTTGCCCTTCTGCATGCAGTGCACGTGGAGGCCTGTAACACGGCGGCGGCGGCGCTGTACCTGAGCAGCGGCTTTGAGCTGGAAAGCGAGGAGACGGAGGCTTATGCACGGGCCCTGAATCGCAACCGCCGCCTGCTGTTGCATGTAAAATTGTGACAGTGCCGTCTGCAGTCAACATCACCTTGTTTTAATCCATATAACCTCAATCTCTCCATAGGAACTCCGCTTGGGGGGTTGGCGGCAAGAATGCAAGCCTCGCAGACCTGCCGCCACCTCGCTGCTGCGCCTGCTGTGCCACCTGGTCTGAAGCCACAGAGACGCGGCGATCGGCTTCCTAGTCCTCCTCTCCTGTCCACCCTATGCGCATCATCACCGCTGCAGCACGCCAGTTGGCCATCGCCCTCCGACTCGGCCACCCGCGCCCGGGGCTTGCACGAGCCGCACCAGCAGCAGCGCTCTGCCAATCGCCTCAGGCCGTTGCCGCCGTCGGGAACCGCCTGGGCAGCAGCAGGAGGAGCAGCGCCTCCGCCGGCCCCACCCGCCTCGCGCCGTCCTCGGCGGCCCAGCAGCAGCGAGCCATGGCGCCCAGCTCTCGCACCGAGCACTCCTCCCAGTCCAACCCCCACGAAGCCGCTGTCACTCACTCCGACATCGGTCAGTCAGTCCTGCAGCGCTCTCTCTGCGTCTGCACCCACCGCCCGCTGGCACTCCCAGGAGAGCCGGCCACACTGCCACACCGCCGCCCTGCCGCCTTGTGCCTGCCGCAGAGCTGGATGTGGATTTCGACACCAAGGTACTGTCCGGGCACGTGGACCACACGGTGACGGTACGGGCTGACGGCGCCGCTGAGCTGGCGCTGGACATGCGGGACGTCGCCGTCAGCGGCATCACCGTCAACGGCGCGGGTGGGGCTGGCTCGCTGGCTGGCTGCGGCCCTGCGTGGCGGGTTCTTTTTACAGGCCGACGCAAGCGGTCTGGCTGGCGCCTGTCACTGCAATGGGGTGCCTACAGAGTGCCGCCGTGGCACTCTGTAGGCACTTACATCTGCAACGCCCTGCTGCCCACCTCCCGCGGGCCCTGTGCCTCCTGCCCACCGCAGCCGCCGAGTATAGCCTGGCGGAGCCGTACCAGGCGCTGGGAAGCAAGCTGAGCATTCAACTGCCGCCGGGGCTGAAGGCGGGCGACACGGTGGCGGTGGGGATCAGCTTTGAGACCTCGCCACAGGCCAGCGCCGTGCAGTGGTGAGCGCATGCATCGACGGGTGTGCGGGTCTGGGGCGCGGCCGGGCCAGTGCTGAGGGAGCCTTGCATGCAGGCTGCCTTATCTTCCTGGGGCCCTGCCCGGCCGGGAGGCCCTGCTGCAGGCTGCCGCCGGAGCAGACGGCGGGCAAGCGCCACCCCTACCTCTTCACCCAGTGCCAGGCCATCCACGCCAGGAGCATCCTGCCCTGCCAGGACACCCCCGGCGCCAAGTTCAGCTACGGCGCGGCGGTGCGTGTGCCGCAGGCGCTGCGGGCGCTGATGAGCGCTGTCCCTGTGGAGGAGGGGGCCGCAGGTCAGACGGGGCGGGCCCTGTGTGTGTGGCGGCTTGCCCCTTGCCTGCTTGTTTGCTTGTGTGTGGGAGGCGACTACCGCGCAGGGTGCTTGGACAAGGGGCTGCACTTGCCGATGACTCTGCCGCCGATTCATGGCACCTCCCCAGACCACAGCGTGCCACTCGCCTGCCTCCCATCGATGCTGCAGACGGCGGCGAGGGCCAGCTGCTGCAGGTGGCGCAGCGCAGCAAGGCGGGGACGCGAGTGTACCGCTTCAAGCAGGCGGTACCCATCCCCTCCTACCTGCTGGCCCTGGCGGTCGGCAACCTGGAGAGCCGGGAGCTGGGCCCCATCTCCGCCGTATGGAGCGAACCGGAGATGGTGGAAGCGGGCGCCTACGAATTTGCGGGTGGGGTACAGCCCTGTGGGGTTGTGGGTTATGAGAGCGGCCAGGGGAAACGTGGATGGAGACGGTTGGGCGGTTTCCAGGTTACCTACGGTCTGGGGATGCTAACCACCGCCCCCCTCCGAGTCGTGCTTCTTGCCCCACAGAGACCTCCAAGTTCCTGGATGCTGCCGAGCAGCTGGCTGGGCCGTACCAGTGGGGGCGGTACGACCTGCTGCTGCTGCCGCCCTCCTTCCCTTATGGCGGCATGGAGAACCCGTGAGTGTTGGTGTGGCGGTGAAATGCGGTGGTGGGCTGCACGTGTGCCGCCAGCTGGCATGGTTCTGCAGCTGGCGTGGCCAGCTCAGCCGTTGGTCCCCTCCCAGTTCTTGGCTGGCTCATTGGTTGATTTGCCAATGTGTGCCTGCTGCCCCCCTTGGCAGGTGCCTCACGTTTGTGACGGTGAGATGCCGCGGCATCCTGCCACTGGCTGGCTGCTGCCCTGGGCAGGCTTTGTGATGAAGCTGGCAGGCAGCACACGGCTGCCATCGCTCGTGTGTGTCTCTTGGCTTCTTCGTCGCCAGCCGTGCCTGCTCCACTCCCCGTGTGCCGTGCGCTGTGCAGCCGACGCTGCTGGCGGGCGACCGCTCACTGGCCAATGTGGTCGCCCACGAGATTGCACACAGCTGGACAGGCGAGTGAGGCCTCGAGGCCTTGGGTTGTGTGTGTGTGGATGAGGGTCGGTGGGTGGGGCGATCGAGCTGTGGGGCACTTTGTGGATTGCCGCCTCGGGAGCACTGCCGCGGCCTGCACTCGGGAGTGGTGCGATCCGGCGCCGGACCAATGCTCCTGCAGGCAACCTGGTGACAAATGCCACCTGGGAGCACTTCTGGCTCAACGAGGGCTTCACCGTCTTCCTAGAGCGCAAGATACTGGGGCGCCTGTACGGCGAGCAGGTGCCTCCCAGCTTCCGCCGTAAAGCTTGTGCCCGCTTTGGCGTCGGCCAGCGTTTGAACGCTGCCCGAGCATGCAACTTGCCAGAGGGGCGGTGGTGTGCGTGTGCATGTGCGTGTGTGTGTGTGTGTGTGTGTGTGGCAACCAGCGGTCCTGCCCGCATGGCCGTGCCCGGGCTGCGGCAGATGTATCAGCTGCAGGCCTCCATGGGCTGGCTGGAGCTGCAAGACGCGGTCAAGTCGTTTGGGGAGGGGCACGCCTTCACCGCCCTCGTCCCCAACCTGTCGGGTGCGTTCTGTACCACTGCTGTACCGCCGCTGTACCGTGCTGCCTGCCGTGCAGAGGTATCAGTTCCAGGCAGCAGGCGGCTGGCTCAAGCTGCAGGACACCGTAAAAAAGCAGTTTGGGTCGGAGCAGCACCCCTTCGCTTGCCTCGTGCCAGACCTCTCAGGTCTGGTGGCTGGCGGCATGGTTGGCTGGGCAGGAAATTTCGAAAGTGTTGCTGGCTGTGAATCGCGGCGGCCGTCTCGGCCTCCGTTTGGTGCCCTCTTTCTCACCAGCTGCCCTATTCACGCCATGCCTGGCTGGCGGGGCGACTGCAGGCGGCGTGGACCCCGATGATGCTTTCTCCAGCATCCCCTGTGAGCACAGCGCAGCGCGCACGGCACAGATGCGCGCCATGCCCCATCCGTGTGTGCTATTATGTGCGCCTGATATGCATCACTTCATGCCTCCCCCTGTGTGCTGTGCAGACGAGAAGGGCTTTGCGTTCATACACTACCTACAGGTGAGTCACCCCTGTGAGCGCATCGCGGCCCTGGCCTGCATGGACCGCCATCCCGGCTGCCAGCAAAGCCCCATGGCAGCCCGTAGCCCTGCTCCCCGCATCGGCGCGCCTGCCTGCCAGTGAGCCCCGCCCTTCAAGCCCTGCCTGCCTGCCAGTGAGCCCGCCCCAAGCCCTGCCCGCCTGCCTCCCCGCGCACCCCGCAGGAGCTGGTGGGCGGCTCCTCCGCCTTTGAGCCCTTCTTCAAGCGATACGTCCAGCGCTTTGCCGCCACGCCGCTCACCAGCGACGACTTCCGCGCTTTCTTCTGCGACTACTTCAAGGACAATGCGGCCATCGCCCAGGTCGACTGGGACACCTGGTTCTACAAGCCAGGTGGGTGCCGAGGGGTCGTGTGGTGTGCATGGCAGTGGTTGTGAGATGATGAAGGTGGTGTGTAGTGGGTGTGGTGATGATGGGTGATGGCGTGTGGTGTCTGGGGGAGGGGCGCCTGCGATGACTGGCTCCCATTCCCCGCCGACATGTGCGTGACTGGATGTGCTGGGGCTGTGCCGTGCTGAGCTTGAGCTCCAGCCCTGTGCTGTGCTGCAGGCATGCCGCCAGTGAAGAATGAGTACGACGAGAGCCTGGGGCAGCTGGCGTATGAGCTGGCCAAGCGGTGAGGTGGCGCCAGCGTGCATGTGTTGGTCGGCGCGCGTGTTCAGCGCTGATTGGACAAGCATCCGAGTCGTCCAGCACAGCACAGTGGGCTGCCCGGCATGCATTGCGTGGCAACGTCGCGTGGCGGCGTGCCTGAAGCCTGCTAGGTGTGCTTTCGTCCCCACAGGTGGCACACGGCGGACGTGATGGGCATTGGGAGTGGCGGGCCGCAGGGCGCCTCTGCCGACGACATTAAGGGTTGGAGCTCCACCCAGGTGCTGAGAGTTGGCGGGGAGGCAGGGCCGGGGCCGAAATTCGAGGCGGGCAGGTGGACAGGATGCCTGAGAAGGGCACCTCATCCTGCCTGCCGTCGCCTTCCTCCAGCTGCACTTACACGGTAGATGATCCCCCGAACCCCTGCGCAGCTGGTTGCGTTTCTGGACAAGCTGGCTGAGCTGCGCGCCATGCAGCCGCTGCACCCCTCCATCACCCGCAAGTGAGTGGTGGGAGGTGCCAGCGTGGACAGCACTAGCAGGCATCCCCGGAAGCGCCAGGCCACCAGCTCTTGGCGCATGGCACGCCCCTTTGGCATCGCCGCTGTGCCGCTTCCGCCTCGCTCGCTGCTGTACCGCTGTGCCGCTGCACTGCCTTACTGCAGAATGAACGAGCTGTACGACTTGGACAACCGCCACAACTCAGAGATCCGCAGCTCCTGGTTCCAGCTCTGCATCAATGCGGGTGCGTGGGGCGGTGATGTGTGGCGGTGGTGGCTGGGCAGTATCCATTCGATCTGAGGTGGCCTGCGAGGCGGGGCCACCCAGCAGAGCAGGAATTGTGAGCGGCAGTGCCCCCTGACAGGTGCTGCGTGTTTTAATTTCGTGCTGTGCAGGTGACGACAGCGTGCTGCCGCTGGTGAAGGGCTTCTTGCAGGAGCAGGGGCGCATGAAGTGAGTGGGAGGGAGCGGAACGGTGCAGCGCTGTCGCCCCATGGCCATTTCCTCTGCAGCTCGCCTGGGGCTGAACGCGCACCCTGGGGCCCTCCACCACCACCACCCCACCATCCCTGCTGCTGTTGCTCCCCACCGACACACGACAGGTTCCTGCGCCCGCTGTATCGCGCTCTGCACAACAGCAAGAGCGTGGCGGCCAAGCAGGCGGCGCTCGACACCTACCACGAGCACAAGAGCACCTACCACCCCATAGCAGGTGGGCGGAGGAGGGCCCCGCCACTGTCAGCAGCTGTGCGCCCGGCCTGCTGTCTGATATGTTGCTGGAGGCGGCGCACACCAGCCCGGCCAGCTGCAGCGCTGCCTCTCCTTGGCAGCACCAGCTGATGTGCCGTTCTGCTGCGCGCCTGCTCGGTCATGCATGCACTGCAGCCAAGATGGTGGCAGCTGACCTAAAGCTGCTCAAGCCAGCTGAGGAGACGGTGGCTTAGGACGTAGGGACAGGGTTGGCTTGTAGTCGGCTGCTGCTGCCGCCCTGGTCCCTTTTGGATGCAACCACCGCATCACTGCCCACTTGCACGGTTACATTTTTCAGTACTGCTGTTTGGAGGGCAGTTGACTTAAGTGTACTGTAATGTGCGATGCAATGGAAGGAAAGAATGGAACCTGAAGTGTGCTTGGGGGAGAAAAGAGAGACTGATGCGCAAGATGTGGCCAGAAGTAATCCAGGGTGCTTGAATCAGGGTGCTTGAAATGAAAGGTTTTGGTGTGGGATCATGGGTCCCAGGAGTAACGGGGAGGAGAAATCACAGGATGGATGGATGGGTGGGTGTTTGGCATGAATGATGCATGCATGGAATGTGCTCACTGCTCGAGCGCCTTGCATTCGCAAAGCATAAACATCAGGTGGTGGTGTTATCATCATTATTGCGTGTGCATCTCGAAAGCATCAGCAGGTGCGCGTGCGGCCCCAGTCGGCAACCTCCTCCCCCTCTCCAGTCATCTTGATGCACAGAGGCTTGCAGTCGCCGTCGGGCCACAGTAGCATGCGCGCGCGCCAGCCTGCAGGCAGGCAGGCACGCCGGCGCCGCTCAGCCCAGGAAGGTGGCACCGCAGCTCATGGCGCTGCCACCAGGGAGCAGGCGGGGCTGTGGCTGCTGCAGGCAGCCCAGGTTGCGGGGCGGGGCAGGCCAGGCACGTTCAGGCACACTCACGTCCCTCGGCACGCCCCTCCCCCACACAGACGCGGACAGTGGTGAAGGCCTTGACGCCGCAGTCGCCCCACTCCGGCCCCTTGAAAGCATACTCGAGGATCTGTGCAGCGGGGTGGCAGCAACAGGGGTGACAGCCGCCCACGCAAGCAGCTGCCGCTGCGCTGGCTGCTCCCGGCGGCAGTACACGCCACCGGGGCGAGCGCGCTTGCTTGTCGCACAGAAACAGGCACTTTCATCTGCAGGGGCATGAGCCGGTCTGGCGGCAGCCATGCCGGCCCTGGCATGGCATGCCCGGCTGGGCGTCGCGCACGGTGCCCTGCCGCTGGGCGGCTCATGGGCATGCCCAGCTCTGAAGCCCAGCTCCGCAGCCCAGCTTCCCAGCCCGCTCACCGTCGACTCCTGCACCGCCTTGCTCAGGGCCACCAGCCCGCACCCCTCGACCTCATCGGGGTCGTACATGAGGCGGTAGTCCTCCGGGGTGGTGCCGTCGCTCAGGCCCATGCCGTCGTCGCACTTCTGACGGTCGCCCTGCTGGAGCGAGCAGGTGCCCCGGAACTTGGGGTCCACAACAACTGGGGTGAAGCCTGCCGCAGTGGTGTGGTAGTGGTGGGGCAGTTGGGGTGGGGCAGGAGGAGGGGTGTCAGGGCTGGGGCGAGCCCCGGGGACGGCTGGGACAGGCCGGGCAAGCACGCGTGCAGCCTCATTCTGCGCTGCAGGGGGCACTAAGGCCCCTTTACGGCGGCGGAGGGCCCCGGCGGCGGCGGCGGCTCACCCTCTGCGGGCGGCACGCTGCCCCTGGTGGCCAGAGAGTCTTCCTGGATGGTCAGCGAGGACTCATCACCATCCCCATCCTGCTCCTCCTCCTCCTCCTGCTGCTCCTCCTCCTCGGGAGCAACCTCCCGCTCCTGGTCGTCGTCGGCAGGCGGCGGCGGCGAGGGCAGCGGCGGCGAGGGTGGCGGCGGCGACTCTTCAGGCTCGGCGACCGGTTCGATATCCTCCCGGTCAACATCCAGCGGGTTGGACCTCGCCAGACCCTGCTCAGGCCGAGGCTGAGGCCCTGGGGCCCCGGCACCTGCCACAGCGCCCTCGTCGGCGGGAGTGGCGGGAGCGGGAGCCCCCACAGCGGGTGCCTCGTCTGGCGCCGCTGCTGGGGCTTGCATCACTCGACGGCAGTCTGCCGGGTGCGAGGCGGCGGCAAGAAGCAGCAGGCAGTGGGCCAGGCCCGACAGTGGGCCGCCCATGTGCAGCATGCGGAAGACCTTGCAGAGGGGTTGTTAGCGATCAACTGCAAATTGGACACGCGTCGTGTTCAATGAGATCACAGATGTGGTTTTAACGCGGCGGGGTGTGGTTCAACCACTGACCGCCACGGGTCGGCAGCTTCACCCTCCGGCCCACCCACCACTCCCTGTCAGACTGTTGAATAAAGCGTCGAACGGTCGTAATTGAATGCCGCAATGGGCTGAAAAGTCGAGAGGGAGCGGTGCCTGCAAACAGCGAGCGGCCCATGTTTTCCGCCGCCGCCACTTGGCGGCCGCCTAGCGCCGCCGCCGCCGCTGCAGGGCCCTTGCACCGAATGCGAAGCTTACAGCCGCTGGCTTGCAGGGCGGCGCCAGGTCTCGCTCAAAGTTTGATGTCTTTCAGCACTCGAGCCAGCATGGCACCCTGCCGCCGCGTCTGAAATCGCTCCGCCGAGCTGCCGCTGCTGGCGGCGCCCTCCTCTCTTCCCCCCGCCCCCTCTTCTACCGCTGCCGCTGCCGCTCCTGCTGCTGCTACTGCTGCTGCTGCTGCTGCTGCTGCTGCTGCTGCTAATGGATCTTCTTCTTCCACTGCACCTACTTCTGCATCCTGCTGCTCCCCCTCTGCCACACCTCCTACCACCCCTGCCACTCCTCCTGCCCGCTGCGCTGCTGCCTGCCCATCCTCGGTCGCTGCTGCTCCTTCCGCCGCCGCGGCTTCGACCCCTGCCTCTGCCAGCGGCTGCTTGCGCCGCTTGAGCAGGTAGATGTGTATGAGCGGGTGCTGGTAGTTGGCATCCATCTTGTTTGGGGCCACCTGCCAGACATGGGACCGTTTCTGTTAAAACAAAAACAAGAGTCTGATGAATGATCAATACATTGAATCGAAAAACTGCTGCAGCAGCGACATGCGTGTGCGTGCAGGGCAGAACGCCGCGCACGCGGCGGCGGCTGCTGGGCGGCGGCACGGCCTGCAGTGCGGCACCGCGGCCCACCTTGCGTATCGTGAAGTGGCGGCCAAACCGCTGCATGAACAGGTCGTGCACCGTCTGCGGTCCCGAGGGCCGGGCAGGGGCGCCGAGGGCTCAGGGCTGGCTCAGGGCAGGGCCTCATCATGTGCTCGAATCAAGCGGGTCTCATCAAGCGAGTGCGCCGCGTGCCGCAAGCCACCCATGCCGGCGTGCTGCCGCCGCCGTTGCCACAAGCGCCAGGCAGCGCTTGCCCGGTGGCAGCCCCGACGCCCGCACCCTCGCAGCCGCCCTCTCACCTGGGAGCGGAACTCGTTTGCCACGATGGTCTGGGTGCGCGGCCCGCCCATGTGCAGCACGGCGGCCAGCAGGTGTGGCACTGCAGCAGGGCGGGTGGGCGGGGAGGCTGTCGGAGGGTAACGGCACGCCCACACAACCCTAACCCCCACAGCAGCAGCCAAGCTGCTCCAGCGGAAGCTCCGAACACCCACCCGCCAGCTCCGAGTAGACGCAGTCGGCGGCCAGGATGAAGTCGTAGGGAGGGTGGAAAGCGGCGTAGCAGGCGGGGTCTGACCAGTCGAGCGACGCCACGCGGGCCGCCCCCACCTCTGCCGCCGCCCACGCCGCGTCCTTGACTGTGTGGTGGAAAGGGAGGCACGCGAGGAGGAAAGCGCGCGCGCCGTGAACGCACAGGAGGCATGCGCGGCGGCGTCCGAGCGGCGAGGCAAAGGGGCACAGGCCGCAACCCCCCCAGGCAGGTGGCGGCGGGGGTGGGGATGCCTGCTGCAAGGCGGCTGTGGGGCGGACCTTTGAGGGCGGCGGTGGAGATGTTTTGGTCTACATTGCGCTGCAGCAGCGGCAGCACGTCCCCTATGTCGGTGAATGCCACGTCTGCACTCAACAGGCAGGCAGGCAGCAGGCGGTGGAGGGCGGCAGGTGGCCGTGGATGCGGGCCGGCGGCAGGCAGCCGGAGGGACAGCAGTGTGCGCCAGGGAGAGCAGCCCCGTAGCCGCTCCCGGCAAGGCAGCGCCGAGGGGGGATAGGGACGGCGGCGGCGGCGCCGCCCGAGCAGGGGGCCAGCAGCTGGGTGTGGCAGGTGGCAGCCCGCTCACCTGCTCCCAGCAGCGCCAGCGCCATCCCTGCCAGCCCCATGCCCGCCCCCAGCTCCAGCGCCTGCCTGCCCCGCACCTTGGGCCGCGAGAAGTCGCCGCGCCGGCTGTTCTGCGGGCGGGCCGCCCAGCGGCAGGAGGGCAGGCATGAGGAGGGGCCGCAGCGGCGGCCAGCACCAGACTGTGTTCCCATCTGCCGGCACCAGCGCCTGCCATGCTCTAGTGCCTCCCACCCTGCCACCACCCCTCCCTGCTCCTTGCCGCCCTCCCTCCCTGCCATTCACCTTTTCGATGTACTTCGCCAGCACGATGGAAGCATCCCACACCGTGGTGCCCAGGTTGGATGAGTTGGGGTCCTGAGCTAGCTGCAAGTCGATGCTGCAGGCAGGCAGGCAGGCAGGCAGGCAGGCAGGCAGGCAGGCAGGCAGGCAGGCAGGCAGGCAGGCAGGCGTTTGAGGCGCAGGTAATGCACGTGGGGATGCGCGGTCTCACACACAGGCGAGCCCACATGCGTGCACAATGGACGGCAGCCGGGTGATGAGCAAGGGAGCTCGGCAGGCGTGGCGGCAGGGGGTGACTGGAGGGGCGGCGGCAGCCCAGGAAGGCAGGCTGCCCCACCCGAGCAGCTCCTGCTCCACCGTGGTGCTGAAATGCGTGTTCCAGCGCTCCAGCATTGGGCCTGCTGCTGCGGGTAGGGCTGGGGCTGGGGCTGAAGAGGCGGTGTCGCGGGGTGCCCCGGGCGGCAGGCGGCAGCAAGTGGCAGCCGGCGTCAAGTGGCAGCCGGGAAGCGTGGGCGTGCAGCTGCAGCGGGCGCGCTTCCTGAGGCCGCGCTCCTCAAGCGAAGCAGTCCTCTGCTGCGAATGTGTATTCTGCCGGCAGAGATGGCATGCGAAGCGGTCGGCCCCTCAGCGTGACAGAAGCGAGCCGCCGATTGGCTCCAATCGATAAAGAGTGAGGTAGGAGCGTGGAGCACTCCCTGTCATGTGCCTCCCGCCGCAGCGCACCCAGCGCCGCTGCCGCCACGTTTTCTATCTGCTGGGCGACAGCCAAAGGAAGCTTTACCAGCAGAATCCTTCATAGAAAACTCGTCAAAGCTACACCTTCTGGTCCGCTGCCTCCTTGCCGCTGCCGCCCACGCCCTCTTCCTCCTCCTCCAGTGCCGCCAGCGGCGTGGCCGGCATGCCGCCCCCCCACACCGCCCCCGCCTGCACCACCTCCCCAGGCAGCACGGTGGAGCCGGGCAGCAGGCGGGCGCGGCGCTCCAGCGTGACCCCAGGCATCACACGCGCGTCCGCTTGCACCCAGCACCCGTCAGCCACCGAATTGGGCTGGTAATTGAAGCGCATGCGCTGCGGGGGCGAGGGAGGGGCAGCGAGGCGGCACACAGGTGGGGCGAGCGAGGCAACAGGGGGCTGCTCCGGGGGCCGGCACCGCCACCATGCTGCCCACGCTTTGCACCAAACCCACGCCAGCCGCCCCACCCGCCCAGCTGTTTTCAATCGGTGCAGTGGTTTTATGCAGTACTGCGCGTGCCCCCCTGCTGCCGCCATCCTCCTCAACAATCTCACCTCTAGGTAATGCCCCTCCACAAACGCCTGCGCCTCCACGCTGCACCCGCGCCCCACCCGCACATGCATGCGCTCCAGCGGCACGTGACCGCTCCACACCGTGCCGGAGCCCACCTGCGGGGAGCGCATGCGGCGCACCAGGGCGGCCCAAGGGGCGGTGGCAACGGCATCGGGCGGCGTCAGCAGCAGCAGCAGCAGCGGCGGCGACGGCGGTGGAAAGAAGAACCACCACCACCACCGCCACCACCACCAGCGGCGCCAGCAGCAGCAGCAACAATTGTAAGCGGCAGCAGCAGCAGTTGCTTTGTCTCTGATGCGCCCACCTGCAGGCCCATGACTCGCATGGCGGCCAGCAGGAAGGGCGTGCCCCCCAGGCGCATGAACCCCGAATCCACGATCATGGCTGCAGGGCGTGGAAGGTGGGGAGGCGCCGGGGCCAGCAGCCGGGCGGCTCAGCCAGGGTGCGCACAAGAGGCGCCCGGCCGGGCTGCACTGCAAGCACACAGGGTCAGCAGCGGCACCGGCAAGCAGACGGCAGGGTGCCCCCCTGTGGCAGCGGTGGGCGCTCACCGTGGCTGACGACGGCCGACAGGTCAAACACGCTGGCCTCGCCCTCGCGCCACCGCGCCGGCATGCGTGCCGCCAGCGGCAGCAGCCGCAGCCAGGCGGCCAGCAGGCAGGCGCCGGCGGGCAGCGCGGCCACGTAGGCGAGCAGCGCCAGCCAGCCGCCGCAGGCCATGGTGGAGCGCAGGGCGGCCAGCGCGGACAGCCAGGGCAGCAGCGTGCCGACGGGGCGCAGCGCGGCCAGCGCGGCCGCCGTCTTGAGCGCGTGCGCCGTGGGCGACGCCACGGCGGCGGCGGTCAGGGCGTCGGCGCGCCCGCCGCCGCCGCCGCCGCTCCCCGCCGCCCCGCCTCCCGGCTTCCCGCTTCCTGCCGCCGCCGTTGCCGCCGGCGCCGGCGCCGGCGCAGAATCGATGCGGTACGTCACGTGCCCCTGCAGCCGCTCGTCCCTGCCCAGTACCGCGTGCGCCGCCAGCACGGAATCGTTTCCCAGCAGGGCGCCCGCCCGCATGCGCGCCCCAGCATACAGCACCGCAGAGTTGCCCAGGGTGCACCCCGCCTCCATCTCCACGGCCTGCCGGGGGGTAGGTTTGCATGAAAATGCAGGCAGGCAGGCAGGCGGGCATGAGTGGGGTGCGACGCCACGCGGTGCCGCACCAGTGAAGCGAGGCAGGCATATGAGCATGGCAAGGTGCTGGGCCAGGCGCGGCGGGAGGGGAAGAGAGGCGAGGCACAGCGCGGCGGCGGGCCGCGGCGGGGATCCAGGCGGCAATACGGCGGCGGCTCCCCGCTCGCCTCCCTCCGGACCTCGGCCAGCGCCCGCTCACCTGCACCACGCCGCCCGCATCCACAGCATATACAAAGCAGCTGGAGCCGCAGCAGGCGCCCTGGGCGGCGGTGAAGGCGTCCTGTGCCACGCAGTGCAGCGGCAGCAGCGAGCGCGCATCCACGGCGGCGCCCAGCGCGCTGCATCAGGCACATCGAACGACGAGGATGGCGGTGGGTCGGTTGGCTGGCTGGCTGGTGAGCAGAGGGAGCAGCGTGGCAGGCAGCGGCAGGCAGCGAGGCGGGCGGCGCGGAGCGGCCGGGCAATGCCAGCTGAAGCAGAGCGGCGCCCGGCGGAGGGTGCCGCTGCTCTATCTCCACCCACGCCTCCTCCCCCCCTCCCTCTGCCCCACCCACCGCATCCACAGCGACTGCAGGCAGGTGCCTTGCAGGTAGAAGCGGAAGCCCTGCGGAGCGGCAGGCAGAGCGGGGCACGATGGAGCAGGGTTCGGTGGCAAGCGGGACGCCGGGCGGTACAACTGGGAGCTCGTCGCACGCGCTGACTCAGCGGTGCCAGCTGGCAGGCCCGCCGCCTCTCCCCTTAATGCCGTCCTCCTTAGCTACCCTCCTTGGACCCTTGTGCCTTGCTCCCCACCCGCCACCGCCATACACCCGCACCTGGTAGCTTGTGTCCTCCATCATTCGCAGGAACAAGGAGAAGGCAAAGAGGCGGCGGCGCGAGGCGGTGAGCAGCGTGCCCGGCACCAGCGGCCCCAACGCCGCCCTCTTGAAGCACCACAGCGCAGCCGCCTGGGTGGCACAGCCGATTGGGTAGGATAGGAACTGGCGGGAGGGTGGGTGGGAGGAGGGGTGGCAGGAGGATGAGGCGCGGAAGGTGCGGCAGGCAGGGGCGGCCGTGGGGCAGCCCCATGGGCAACAGCCACCGCCAGCCCATGCTTCCCTGGCGAGGAGGCTGTGCAACTGTACTGCTCTCCACCTGAAGCCAGCCAGCTCACCCAGAAGAAAGAAACGAAGACCAGGGGCCACACATAGTCGTCCCAGCTGAACTGCAGGCAGGCGAGGCTGGGGGGAGGGGGCTCAGCGTCACGGCGGCGGCGGGGATGGCGTGAGGCTGCCTGTGATGAAGCTGCGTCAGTCGACAATGCTACACAAGCAGCAGCAGCAGCGGCAGCAGGCGCACCATGCAGCTGCCGCCGTCGGCGGAGCCGCTACGGAAGAAGTCGTGGGCTCGGGAGAAGGGGCTCTCCTGTAGGGAGACGCCTGCGGCCGGGACATTGGAACGACGTGCATGCGTTTCTCTTGAGCGCTGCTCGAGGAAAGTTTTGCTGGGCAGCCGCAGGAGGGCACACACAGGCGGAAGCGGCACAGAGCTGGCGCCGCGGGCGTCGCATGCACGCGCCCGGAGGCGCACGCGGGTGCCAAGCGCCGTCACGCCCAGGCTGAGCCGCCCGGCTGTCCCAGCCGCCCAGCCGCACCCGTCAGTGCAAACGCCGCCGCATATCCCGGGATTTGGCACAGCCCGTGCACCAGCCCCGCCAGCAGCCCTGACGCTACGCCCAGCGCAGGGTGCATGTGCTGCTCAGCCATGAAATGGGGCCACTCTGGGCAGGGGCCTGGGGGTAGAGGGAGGCATGGAGCGGCAGGCGCGGGAGGGTGAAGGCGCAGGCGCGTGTGAGGTCTCGCCACAGGGTGACAGCGGCAGGGGAGGCAAACAGGCACAGCGACACAGCCCGTCACTCAGCAGGGCCCAGCAGTAAGAAGCAGCAGGGAGGGAGGGAGTGGGCCGCATAGTGTGTGATGCCCACAACGCCGCGGCCTCCCCACAGCCCACATCCCAGCCCCCTACCCACCCAGCTTGACGGCGGCATGGTGGGAGGGTGCAGCCCGCGGCCGCAGGGTGGAGTCGTCGGCCAGGCGGGCGCCAGCGGGCAGCACGGCGCCGTGCCCCACCTCGCACCGCGCCCCAACCGTCACCTGAAGCAAGCGGCGGGCGTGTGCAGGCCCTCGGTGGTGAGGCTGCGGCGGCGTGCAGCAGCGAGGAGAGGCCAGGGCCGCCAACGCGCAAGGCCAACCGTGCGCGGTCCAGCAGAATCCGCAGCAGCAGGCTCCCTCCACGCCGCTAGGCGCTCACCGGCGACAGCAGCAGCGCGGGGCCGCCCGCGCATGCCGCGCCCGTCGGCGCCACCTGCGCCGGCGCCGCCAGCACGCCCGAGCACAGCTTGGAGCCCGCGCCGACGGTCACCAGATCTGGCTCGTAGAGGTGCAGCGAGTCCACCAGCACACCCGGTGCCAGGCTGGCGCCAAGCAGGCGGTACAGCCAGGGCAGCATGGCATTGCGCCGCACCTACACATGGCGAGTTAACACAGGCGCCAGCTCAGCATGCCAGCCAGCACACATGTGCGCCGCGGGCGGGCCCGGAGGCAGCGGGGAGCAGCCCGGCGCTCGGCGGCAGCCAGCAGCAGGCGCGTGAGCCGGCTGATAGCCGGCGGCAGTCAGCCTGCTGCACGCTCCCCCACCCACCTCACTCCCCACCCCCTCGCGCACCATATCTTCACACAAACCACACCCCGAAACAACTGCATATACACTGAGGCCGCCCGCACCGACTCACAAGTGGGCCAATCTCTGAGAGCACGGCGTCCTGCACCGCCCTGGCCGCCGCCCACCGCGCATGCAGCCAGCCGTGCAGCGGGTGCGCTCCCGGGCGCAGGCGCCGCGGCAGCAGGAGCCAGCGCAAGGCCACCAGCGCGGCGGCTGCCAGGGCGCAGGTGGCCAGGTAGAGGCAGGGCCAGAGGAGGAAGAGCCAGGCGTAGGTGCCGGTGGCGCGGTACACAAGGGACAGCACCAAGACGCGGCCAAACCAGATCTGCAAGGGAGGGGGGGCGCAGGGTCGAGGGGTGGGGGTTGGCAAGGCCTGCGCCCTGCCAGCAGCAACATGACAATTGGTATTTTAGCGCTCCGCATGCTGGGTAGCAATGAGCAGCGTGCAGGTCAGGTCCCTCGCCGCGGCCAGCAGCGGCAGCCCATTCAGCACGACAATTGCGGCAGGCCCGGCGCAGGCTCACCGCGGGCAGGATGGTGGGCGCGATGCAGGAGAGCAGGAATTGCAGGAGAAGGTAGGCGGGGTATGGGAGGCGGGACACGGGGGCCGGCACCCCGCGCAGCCGCGCCCGCAGCCGCACATCCTCTGAGCTGAGGTACCGCAGCAGGCGGCACGACTTGAAGGTACGGGCCGCCAGCAGCAGGGCGCGGGTGGCGGGCCCGTGCCCCGCGGCCCAGCGGCCCACGGCGCTGGCGTGGCGCGCCAGGGCGCCGGCGCCGGCGCCGGGAGCGCCGCCGTCGCCGGCGTCGGCGCCGGCGCACATGCTGGCCAGCAGCGCGGCGTAGGCGCGCACGGTGCGGTTCTGGAACAGCGCCCAGGAGGGCAGGTCTGGCACGCCCAGCTCGCGCCGCGTACGCGACTGCACCAGGCCTGCGCCAGGGCGGGAACCACAGCGCAACATTCGTGCGAGGGCGCCGGCTCCAGCGGCTGCGCGATTGCCGTGCACCAGCCACACAGTGCACCAGCCCGCCTACCACCCTCCCCAACAACGCCCTTTCCAGGCCAGGCTGCCTTCACCTGTGAGCAGGCTGGTGCCGCCGACCAGGAAAAAGTCGTCTTCGGCGCCCAGCGCCTCCGCGCAGCCAATCACCTCCTGAAAGATGCGGGCCACCGCCTCCTCCAGCGGTGTGGCAGGCGGCGCCCCACCACCACCTCCTCCAGAGCCGGCGGAGGAGCCCCAGTCGGGCGCCGGCAGCGCGCCACGATCCAGCTTGCCGTTGGGCAGGCGGGGCAGGGCCGCCAGCTGCACCACAAGGCTGGGCACCATGTACTGCGGCAGCTGCTGGCCCACCGCCGCCTGCGCGCCCTCCTCGCTGGTAGCGCCGCAGGGCTGCAGATAGCCCACCAGGCGCTGTTGGCCGTGCGGATCTGACAGCACCGCCGCGGCAGCCAGCTCCACCCCGGGGATCGCCGCCAGCGCCGCCTGCGGCGGCAGCAGGAGGAGCAGTCGGGCAGGGTGGCGGCCAGCGCAGGACCCCCCATCGGGACCAACTGGCTGGCCGCCACAGCCGCAACACACCAGCGCTAGCAGCCACGGGGGCTGGGGTAGGAGGTGCCAGGGACTAGGCGCGGATGTTGCATCCCCTCGATACCAATACTCCAGGCACCCACTTCCATGCCGCGGATCATCCACCACCTCCGCCCCAGGCCCCCAAACACACCGACGCACCTCCACCTCCCCGATCTCTATGCGCAGCCCCCGCAGCTTGACCTGCTGGTCAATACGGCCAGCAATAACCACTGCAGAGGGACGTGTGGTGGGAGGGTGGGAGTGCATAGTCAGTCGGTAGGGGAGTCCTGGGCAAGGCGCAGATCAGGAGGTCAGGAGGGATGGGAGGGAGCGATCATGGCAGGGCGGCATGGCGGCACGCCGCCAGCGCGGCCAGGCGCAGCCCGCTCTGCTGCCACAACAAACAGCTCACTGGAGCCGTCGGGCAGCCAGCGGCCGAGGTCGCCGGTGCGGTACAGGCGGTGAGGCAGGCCGCCGGGCAGCGCCGGCTCGCCCGCCGCCTCGGCAAAGGGGTCGGGCAGGAAGCGCTCGGCGGTACGGTCAGGGTCGTTGAGGTATCCCTGCGGCGGTACAGCAGTACATTGCAAACACGGTGGGCAGAGGCGCCTGTCTGTACATATGCCAGCGGCAGGAGCAGTGGGAGGCGCCCCAGCAGGAGGAGCCAGCGGCAATTCGCCGCCCATGTAACCGCGCCTGCCTGCCAACAGCAGGGGCCGGAGCAGAGAAGCAGCAGCGGGGTGGGCAGGCAGGCAGGCAGGGTGGCGGCGGCAGCGCACCAGGCCCACATGCACGCCGCCAATGTACACCTCCCCCAGAACCCCCACCGGCACCGGCTGCAGGGCGGAATCCAGGATGTACGACTGCAGCAGGGAGTAGGCGTGTGTGGTGTGGGGGAGGGAGGGCAGATGGCCATACGGTGGGCTATGCAGTGGGCTATACAGGAGGCTTTCAGTAGGCTACACAGGGGACTATACAGTGCATGTATATATGTACAGTGTACAACAGGCGCTGCTGCTGGCAGCAGCTGTAGGTGGTGGGCGCAGAAAGCGGCGGGTGCGCCCCGCAGCGCGAGTTGCTGCGCCGCCTCCTTGCCTTGACGTTGGGCAGCGGCGGGCCCACGGGCGCCGTGCCGCCGCCGCCGGCGTCGTAGTCAGCGCAGCCGATGGATTCGTTGGAGTAGACTGTGGCCTCGCAGGGGCCATACAGGTTGGACACGGCTGTGCCGGGGAAGCGGGCACGCACGCGTTCTGCACAGCGGGGGCCCACGGCGGCGGATCGGGGCGGTTCAGACCGGCGGCGCGGCGGCCGCGCCACTCAGCCTCCCACCGTGCTCTGGTGTTTCCAACCAGTCCTTGGCCCCACCCCCGGCCCCAGCCCCAGCCCCAGCCCCAGCCCCGACCCCAGGCCCCTCCCTCCCAGGCCCCTCCCTCCCAGGCCCAGCCCCCCGCGCTCACCGACCAGCGCCGCCTCTGCCGCCTCGCCGCACAGCCGCACCTCGCGCAGGTTGGGCGGCGGCGGGGCGGCGGCGTCGCGCAGCACCGCCGACATCACCGACGGCACCATGTCCAGTACCACGGGGGTGGGCGCCTGTGCGGCGATCAGGCCCAGCAGGTAAGGCAGGTCCACCAGTCCGCCGGGGCGGGAGACCACCAGCTTGGCGCCGGCCGTCAGCGGCGGCAGCATCTCCAGCAGCGAGACGTCAAAGGAGACGGAGGTCTTGGCCAGGTAGGCCCCTGGCAGGGGTGGGCCCAGGCCGCGCTGCGGGGCGGGCAGGCGAGGGAGGGGCGAGGCAGGGCAAGGGAGGTCAAGGGGGGGGCCGTGGGCTGGGCCGCAACCCAGTGCGGCGCGGTAGCGGCAAGGCAGGGTGCAGGCGCGTGTGCCAGGTGCCCCAGGCCTCCACCGCAACAGCAACAGCAACGCCATGCCCCGCACTCACGTCGCGGTTGGCCACATTTGCCATATTGATGGCGGCGGCGTGCGGTACCACCTGCAGCGCGCGCAGGAGGCGGCATGCGGCGGTTTGCGGCGGCCCAAGGCACGACACGCAGCGTGCATGTGCCGCGGGGTCTGGGTCGCAAGTTCCTTGGTCGCAAGTTCCTGGGTTGCAGAAATGCAGACTGTAAATACAAAAGGCAAAAGCACACCGCCGCACTGCAGGCTTTGCTTTTGCCTTTTGTGTTGACAGCCTGCATTTCCGCAAAGGAACCTGCGGCACAGACCCAGCGGCGGCCAAAAACATGACCTGCCCGGCGGCGCGACCCAAGCGGCGGGCGGCCCGCAGCGCGCAGGCGGCAGGCCAGGCGAGGCGGCAGGCGTGTGTGCCTACACACCGCTGCCTTGGGGGTGCCCGTGGATCCAGAGGTGAAGATGATATAGGCGGGGTCGGCTGCGAGGCAAGGAGGTGTGTGTGTGTGGGGGGGGGGTCAGCAGCAGAAGCGGCAGCAGCAGCAGCAGCAGCAGCAGCAGCAGCAAGGAAGGAAGGGTGGCGGTAGTGGCAGGTGGCGAGAGGTGTTGGCAGCGACGGGGTCTGGCGATGCAGACAGCGGTGGCGGCAGCAGCAACGGCGGCAGCAGTAGCGGCAGCAGCGATGCGGCGCCGCCGCAAGCCAGGCCAGGCAAGGGGAGTGGAGGAGGCGCTGCGGCGCGCACCCGGCCCGGCGCGCGGCAGCCGCGCGGCGGCGGGGGTGCCGGGGCCGCACTCTGCCTCCAGAGCGGCCCAGTCGAGAGCATCAAGGTCCAGCACCTGGCAGGGAGGAGGAGTGGCGGGGAGGAGGGGTAGTGTGAAGGAGGGGCGCCAGATGCCGCCGCTTGCAGCCACTCACAGCAGGGCTGCACAGCCAACCCCCAAGCGAAGTGGCCGGCGGCCAACAGGGCCCAGCCCCCTGCCAGGCGGGCAGGCAGGCAGGCCCAGCGCCCAGCCCCCTGCCAGCCCAGCACCCCCCCGGCAGGCGCCCACCCCCACCCCCCCACCTGCACGCCCGCCGGCAGCCGCGGAGCCAGGCCGCTGCGTTCCAGCGGCTCCCGCCGCGTCAGCACCACCGCTGCCGCCGACTGCCGCAGGTAATGCATGAGCCTGCCGGTCGGGTAGGCGGCGTCGCAGGGCATGTAGGCGCCGCCCGCCTTGAGCACCGCCAGCAGCGCCAGCGGCAGCTCGAGGCAGAGATCCAGCAGGACCGCGACGGGGCCGCCCGGCACGGCGCCCGCAGCTACCAGGCGAGCCGCCAGCGCCGTGGCGCGCACCTCCACCTGCCCATAGCTCAGCGCCTGTCTCTCATACTCCAGGCAAGGGGCGCCCGGGTTGGCGGCTGCACAGGGGCGGCGCGGCAGGCAGGCAGGCAGGCAGGGGGTGGAGCGCGGGAGCCGGGAGCAGCGGCAAGTGGCTGGCAGGGGTGGGAGCGAGCGGCAGGGTGTGTGTGGTTGCGGGGCGCGGCCGGCGCAGGGTCCACCCACCCGCCTGCGCCTCAAACCGCGTCACCACCGTGGTGCCCGCGCCCAGCAAGCGCTTATCCCGTGGCCCGGCGCTGAAGGACTGCAGGGAACGCGACGGAGCGGCAGCTGGGGAGATGGCGAACACGGCGCGCACGGCAGGCAGGAGCGGGCGCATGGCTGAGCAAAGGGCGGCCGCCCGCCGCGCACCAGCAGCTGCGCCCGCTCCTCGGCAGGCAGCATGTCCAGGCGGGGCACCGGCACGTCGGGCGCCGCCGCCGCGGCAGCCAGCAGGGCCACAAAGTGTCCCGCCAGGCGCGCCACTGTCGCCTCCCTGCTGCCCGGGACCGGGGAGTGTGTTAGGGGGAGTGTGTGTCAAGGGGTGTGCGGTGGCGCTGCGGAGCTCAGCACCGGCAGCTGCCCTCAAAGTGGCCGCCATAGCGCAGCCCACTCCGCCTCCTCCCAGCCAGCGCCCCGCCTCCCCCCGCCCAGCCCCTGCCTCCACCCGCCCAGCCCCCGCCTCCACCCAGCCAGCCCCGCCCGAACACCCGCCTCCCACCTGAACAGGCGGGTGTCATAGGTCAGCGTGCCCAGCAAGCCGACGGGACCGCCAGTACCACTGGTACTGCCACCTTCCTCTGGCCCCTCCCCCGCAGGCTCATGTAGGTCCAGGCGGAGGTCAAACATGGCGGCGGCGGCATAGGCCTCGGGCGGCAGCCGCGACACACGCAGGCCGCTCAGATCCGGCGGCTGCCAGAATGCGCGGTCCTGCAGGGGGGCCAGGCAGGGGTCGTGAGGGGCCAGGGCGGTGGCAGCGGGCGATGGCGCGCCCGCCCTGAGCCTGCTTGCACCCCACATCGCCGGCCCAGCTGCTCGCACCCGGCCGTCTGCCTCGGCCTACAAAGCAGCAGCAAACAGCAGCAGCCATGCACCAGCAGCCCCCCTGCCTGCAGCACGATCATTGTTTGGTAGACCGGCGTGACGTCGGCGCTGGCAGCCTTGGGCGCCACCCCCGCGATCTGTTGGATGCCCACGCCGTTGTGCCGCCGCACGCCCGCCACTGCAGAGGGCCGCGCCGCCAGGGGGCACGCAGAGCACGCACGGCACGGCTAAGCACCAGCATCATGGGCCGGCAGCCAACAGGGAGGGGAGAGGGCGAGGCAGCTGGGAGCGCGTGCGCGAGCGCGGCGCGCGGCGCGGCGGCCTCGGCAGCCGCTGCTGCGAGAGTTCACAGGTGCGTGTCACGCGGGCCGCCAGCTCTCGGAAGGTGGGATCCCCCGCCAGCGAGGTGCGGACGGGCAGGGAGGAAACAAAGTCGCCGATGAGGGGCTCGAGGGCGGTGTGGTCGCGGCCAGCTGCGCAGGGGCAGGGCAGGGCAGGCATTGGGAGCGGATGGGAGGCGGCGGACACCTTGAACCCTAAAACAAGGTGGGTTGGGTGCGTGGAAGCCGCAGAGGGCCAGCAAAATGAGGCACAGAAGCGGCGAGGCAGCCCGTGCCCGGCAGTTGCACACCCTTCCCCTCGTGCGCAAAGGGGTTGCCACGGCGCAGCTGTGCGGAAGCTGCGCGGCCACTCACCTACGGGCGTGCCCACCACCACCTCGTCCTGCCGCGAGTAGCGGCCCAGCAGCAGCTGGTAGCCAGCGACCAGCAGCGGGAAGAGGGTGGTGCCCCAGCCGCGTGCCAGCCCCCCCAGCGCCGCCACCAGCTGCGCCGGCAGCGCCAGCGGGACCGCGGCGCCGGGGCGCACGCCCCCGCCGCCCCCGCCGCGCGGCCAGTCGGTGGGGAGCTCCAGCAGCGGCGGCGCGCCCGCCAGCTCAGCACCCCACCACGCCAGGTCAGCAGCCAGGCTGGCAGCACCCTCAGCCACCTCCTCCCGCTGCCAGGCTGCATAGTCGGCATACTGGAGCGGCAGCAGTGGCAGCGCCGGAGGCGGCGGCGACCCCGGCGGCGGCCCCGGCGCCGCCGACGCCAGCGCCGCCCCATACGCCGCCGCAAGCTCCCGTGCCAGCACGCCTCGGCTCCAGCCGTCAAACGCCACGTGGTGGGTGACCAGCACAAGCAGGTGGCGGCCGGGGCCCAGCCGCGCCAGCGTGGCACGAACCGGCAGCTCGGAAAACACGTCGATGGGGCGGCTGACGGCCTCGCGCGCCGCCGAAACCGCCGCCGCCGCTGCCTCCCCGGGCGCCAGCCCCGACAGCTCGAGCTCCAGCCAGGGCAGGCCGTCCGGCGGCGGTGCAGGCAGTACGTACTGCAGAAAGGTGGCGGTATCCGGGTCCCGGCGGTACAGCGTGCGCAGCGCCTCGTGGCGGGCCACGACGGCGGCCAGGGCGGCGCGCAGGGCGGCCGCCTCCAGCGGACCCTCCAGCCAGTCTGCCTCAGCGGTCAGGTAGTCTGCGGCAACAAGGGGGTTGGTAGAAGGGAGGAGGGGGAGGTAAGGGGGTGAAGCAGAGGGGGTAGAGGGCACGCGGCTGCCGTCGGGACAGGGCTGAGCCACCGCGCCGGCGGTACCGCTGCCTGCTGCTGCTGCACGATTTCCGTGCGGTGCCCCGGCAGCCTGCCGGCTTCCATGCGCGTGTACGTACCCACCCACACAGACACCCACCCACCCACCCACCCAAACACACACACACACACACACACACACACACACACGCGCATATAAAATACACACACACACGCGCACCGATGCGCCGCGGGTCCTGCTCGAACAGCAGCAGCTGCTGCTCCTGCTGCTGCGACACCGGCACGCCCGCGGCGCGCGGCAGGCCCGGCAGCGGCCGCAGGCGGGCGAGGGGCGCGCCGCCGGCGGGGGCGCGCAGGCGGGCGGCGCGCAGCTCTGCCAGCGTGGCGCCCAGCGTGCGCCGGGTGAAGAGCAGGTCCGAGGGCAGGTCAAGGCCGCTGTAGTCGCGCAGGCGGGAGGTGGCTTGCATGGCCCTGCAGGGGTGAATAAAGAGAGAGTGTGTGGGGGGGTGGGGTGGGGTGGGGTGGGGGGTGAGTCGTTGTGGCTGAAGATCTGTGAGCCCGTCACCGAAAGTCAAGAGGGGCGCGGGCAGCCACCCAGCCACTCAGCCGCCCGCCAGCCACTCGCCAAGCTACGCCAAGCTGAGCTGAGCTGAGCTGCAGCCCGGGCCTGCGCCCACCTCAGCGAGTTGCCGCCCAAGTCGAAAAAGTCGTGGGCGTCGTCGGGGGCCCACGCCGCCGGCAGCGCCAGCACCTCCCGCCACACCGCCAGCAGCAGCTCCCGCAGATCCTGCAGGCGGGGCGGGGCAGGGCAGGACAGAGTGTGCGTCTTGATTGAACGGCGCTTTCATCTTTGAAAAATTGTACACAGACCGAGACGTGCGGGTAAAGGTGGAGGCGGTACCAGCGTTGTCGGGCGGCAGCCAGCGCTGGTACCGCCGCTGCCGGCTGCGCGGTCGGCCCTCCATATCGCCGCCGCACCTTTCCGGCGGCGGCGGCGGCCGCCGCCGAGAGCAGCGCCGGTATTTGCGGTAAAAAGCGCTCCGCGATCTGCAGCCGGTTGAGCTTGCCTGCAGGCGAGGCAGGGAGGCGGGCAGGAGGTGCAGATGCCGTGACGACGCACGCCTCTGCCACGCCGGCCGAAGCCTGGAGGGTGCCCACAAAGAGCTGCTACGCTGCTGCTGCTGCTGCTGCTGCTGCTGCTGCTGCTGCATGGGCCCCTCAGCAGCTCAGAACATCAGTCCCGAGCTAAGCTAGCTGTGTCTTCCTAGCTATGTTAAGCTCAGCTCAGCCAAGCTCAGCCAAGCGCACCTGCCGCGGTGCGCTGGAAGCGCTGCTGCACGAAGAAGATGTGCGCCGGCACCTTGAAGGGCGCCAGGCGGGCGGCCACGTGGGCACGCAGCGCCTCCGCCTGCTCCCCCTGGCCCTGGCCGGCGGTGGCGCTGCCGGGCGACAGGTACACGGCGGCGGCCACCACCTGGGGGCCAGGGAGTGGGTGGGGGTGGGGACAGGGTGGGGTCAGGTGGAGGCCTCCACCCTATAGGGTGGGTCCAGGTGGCAGGGTGGGGCCAGGCGGGCCCTGGCATGTGGCAACGGAACGGCGCAAAGCCAAAGGCACGCACAACCGAACCAGACACAAATCCAGAGGCATCCTCCCTGCTCCACACGCCGCCAGGCGCGGGGGGGAGACGAGCGGGCACCAGGCGACATCAGGCCAGGCGAGGCAGTACCTGGCCGTACAGCTCGTCTGGGGCGGGGAAGGCCACAGCCTCCGCCACATCCGGGTGGCTCAGCAGCGCATTGTCCACCTGGGGGGCACGTGGGCAGATGTGGGGAGATGGGTAGCTGGTTGCGAAGAACGTTGGTGGCGGCGGCGGCCAGATGGAAAGCTGGGTGTTCGGAGACCTGCCCTCCGCCTGCGCCCTCCCGCCTGCCCGTTGCGCAGCCCGCGGCGCTTCCGCGTCCCCACGCGCCGTCCCCACGCGCCTCCGTGCTGCACTCCTGATTGCCCCGTGGGCGGGTAGGGATCACCCCCACCCCCCAACCGCCCTTGGGTCCCCGCCCGTACCTCTGTGGGGCTGATCTTCTCGCCGCCCCACGAGATGGTCTCCTTGACGCGCCCCAGCACCGTCAGGCAGCCCTCCTGGTCCTTCACGCCCTGTGGCAGAGCAAAGAAGGGCGGCAGGTTGTCGACGAGACGGTTGCGAGCAGCAGCAGCAGCAGCAGCAGCAGCAGGGCGAAGGCGGGCGGCGGACGACGGCGCGCGGCGGACGGGGCAGCGGCGTGCCCGCTCGCCTCCCACCTCCCGCACACCCACCCACCAGGTCCCCCGTGTGGAACCAGCCGCCCCGGAAGGCGTCGGCATTGGCCTCTGGGTTGTTGAGGTAGCCAGGGGTGAGGCTGGGGCCCTGCACACAAATCTCGCCCGCCTGCCCGGCAGGCTGCTCCCGCATGTCAGCGTCCCTGCGGCGGGCAGGGGGCGAGCAGCGGGGCGAGGTGGGCCCAGCTGGGTGGCGGCCAGCCTCTGTCCCGGCTGGTCGGCCCAGAGGCATTTACTCTCCCATTGCCGCAGCTGCCCAGACCAACCCAGCGCCGCCAGGAACAGCAGCAGCAACAGCAGGGGCGATTACCCACATGATGGCCAGCTGCGTCTCTGCTACGGGCAGGCCCACAGTGCCCGGCTTGGAGCCGCCCGGGCGAAGGCTGGTGGAGCAGAGCACCGTTCCCTCGGAGCAGGCATACGCCTTCACCAGCGGCGCGCCAAACGCCGCCGTCAGGGTTCTCAGGGCCAGGCCGGGCCGGGGCCAGGAAGGGTGCGGGGCAGGGTGGCGGGGTGCAAGGGAAGGGTGCCGGCGGGGTTGCGGGGCAGAAGGGGGGGTGGCCGGCGGCGGCATGAAGGGATGGCGCACGCTGGCTGGCGCCTGGCGCACCAGCAGGCACTAAGCAGCAGCAGCAACAACAGCAACAGCAACACAACAACAGCAACAATGTGCGTGCAGCAGAAGCAGCAACGGCAGCGCACCGCGATTTTGGCGGGGGCCATGGTGGCGGAGGAGGAGCGCAGGAAGCGGAGGGGTGGGGGGCAGGCAGCGGGGAAGTCCTCTGCAGCAGCAACAACAGGCGGGGAGAGGAAGTGGGGCCAGCGCCCGACAGCCCCTGCTCCTCTTCTGCACCTCTGCCGCAACTGCTGCAACTTTGCCTGCTGCTCGTTTAGCAAACACACGGCCTGCCATGCCGGGCCCAAGTGCGAGCGGTGGTGGCTGGCCACGCTCACCAGCAGCGCGGGCCAGCAGCAGCAGCAGGATGGTGGGCACGGTGGTGACAAAGGTACCGCCGTACCGCACAGCTTCCGGCCAGAAGGTGCCCGGGTCGAACTTGCCCTTGCTGGGCAGGATGACGGCGCCGCCCGCGGCCAGCGGCGCCAGCAGGCCTGCAAGGCGGCTCGCAGCGGAGAAGTGAGGCAGCGGTAGCCGAGCTCACCCTCAGCGCCCCAGTACAACCAATTCCTCTGCCGCCGCCGCCGATACCGCTGCTGCCCTGCTGTGCCTGCTGTTGCCGCCCTGCTGCCGGTATTGCCCTCTGGCGCCACCTAGCGCCGCCGCCGCCGCACTCACTGTGTGCCAGGCCGTGTATGTGGTGGAACGGGGTCACACCGATCGACACATCCTGCAAGCAGGCAGGGGGCAGAGGGCAGGCGGAACGGAGTTGCGAGCGGGAGCATTCAGTCGCACACGCCAGCACTGGCCCTCGGCCCGCCAGGCGCTGCACCGAACTGCGCATGCAGGCCTGGCCGCCGCCGGAAGGGTGTGGTGCAGCCGCACCCGGGGCACCAGGTTCACCGAATGCGCGCTGTGGCGTATGCCCGCGCCAAAGGTGGCGTGCGTGTGGGGCACGGTTTTGGGCCTGCCCGTGGACCCGCTGGTGTGCAGCAACAGGGCGAGGTCGTCCGGCTGTGTGCGTGGGGTGGGGGGGTGG